TTCTGTGACATTCCATAGAAATGTATTACTAATTTAATAATATTTTAATAATATGTTATTATGAGATATATTGTATTTCATCATTAAGATAAGATATTCCTTTATTAGTCCCACAGTGGGGAAATTTACAGTGTTACAGCAGCAAAGTGACAATACAAAATATATGCAAAATGAAATGATCAAATACTGAAAAAATACAAAAAGATAAATAATAGGTAAATAATATAGTATAGTAATATATTATGTATGATTGATATTAAAAATATGTTATAAATATGTAAAAGAAAAGTAGCAGCATAAGCATAAGGATTATTGCAGTTACACAGATAATAATAATAATTATTATTATTATTATTATTATTATTGTACTTTATATTAAAATTGTATGTAAATATTCTACAAAAAATATTTTAAATATATATTTTTTCTAATATTATTTATTTGATACTCTTATTTATATTTTATTATATTTTATTATATTTTTAAATGTCTGAACACTAATTTCATGGATGAATATTATTGTTTTTATAATAGTTTACGGTTTTATTTCATATTATTAATTTTTTACTGTATTATCACTACCACCATCAGTCTACTATTCTACTATTAGACAACACAGACAGACGGACTCTTATTGTGAAGGTGTTGGCGCCCCCTGTCGGTGGCTCGGTGGAGCGGCACCGTCTCCTCCTCCTCCCAGCATCAGCGGCAGCAGCAGCAGCAGCTCAGCTCTGTTTCTATTCCCGGAGAGACCGCCTCCATTTTACCACCGACACCCGGCGGAGGAGCAGCGGCCCGCAGCGGACTCAACTGCCGGCGCAGAGACACGGTGTTGCGGCAGGATTCTCCCTGTGACCCCGGCGGTGGTGTGACTCGGTCGGGCCTGGATGACGCTTGTTTCTCGGATGGCGGCGCTGCGGCAGGACGCGGCCGGGGCGGCGGTGGATTTGTGAGGATTTAACGGCTCGTTTTCTGCGGTGAAATTTGTTGATTTACCGGAGCAGAGGAGAAGGACTTGGGCTTCGGATGGTCAGGTACCGGCTTTATTCTAATTGGTTTATTTATTACGGGCTTTATTCTCCGGTTTATCATAAGGCGGCTTTGTTTGATCTGCTCAGCGGGTTGATTAGCGGCGGGCAGGCCGCTGCTGCAGCCTCACCGGCGGCCTGTCCGCCGCTGCTGCTCGGTGTTTCCACCCGGACAGCATCCATCCAGCCTCCGTACGGCTCCGGTGTTTTTTTGGGGGGTGGGGGTGTTGTGTTATATAATGTGTGCGCAGAGGACACACCGAGCTGTCCGTCTGTCTGTCTGCTGCTGTAATGTGATTTCCCCTCTGACTGACCGGAGCCTCTTTACCGCCTCTGACGCGCTTTATTACCGTTTGAACGGCTCCGTGTCCCCGTGTCCCCGTGTCCCCGTGTCCAGGTCTCATGTTTGATATTCGGTGTTTTCTGTGACATTGGGTCCGGACGGGCAGCGGATGTTCGGTGCGGCAGGCGGTGTGGTTGAGGCCGGACTGCAGGTGCAGCAGGGCCGCGGCTCCATCCAGGAGAGACCCGAGCAAAATAAAATGTCCTGAGTCACAGCCGCTGAGACATGAACCGGGTCAGGACCCGGGTCCGTCTGTTAGACCTCCAGGACCAGGTCTCCGAGGAAAACTCCACAGTGTTCAGGTTCATCTCATGTGCCTGTGTGAATGCACAAGATCAGAACCAGAACCAGGATCAGAACCAGGTGTGTTCTCCAGCAGGTTTTCACATGAGAGGAATTTGTTCTGGTTCATAACAATAAACAGAAGAAGAACAAATATAAAGATAAGACCAAGTGCAGACAGAGAACTTCAATATGAATAGAAACATTTAACAATAAAATATTTACAAATGTGAAAAATATTCTGATAGAATGTAAAAATAATTCAAATATGTAGAATGTGCAACATGAATCATAAATAATAAGAGATGAGGAATTCTGTCAGGATGGTTTCATCAGATGAATCTGTCACTTCATGACTGAGTCAATGAAAGAGCCTCACTGCTGAAAATAATCAATCAATCGATTAGTCGATGGACAGTGAATCCTCAGGTTCCAGATGAAATGTTTGGACTTTTATTCTGACATTTCACGGAATAAAGAATCAAGAATCACCCTGACATGAATCAGGGATGTGCAGCAGTACATTTGACCCAGATCTGTCAGAGGAGACTTTGACATTAATCATTAATCAGTGGGTTTAATATTAATATAAATAATTAAAATCATTTAGTCCGTAAAACACCAGAAAATAGACAAAACCGTTTTTAAAATATTTGGATCAAAACACAAAGATCTTCAGTTCATTCTGATGAAAATGTCTTTAGTGACATCCAGAGAAAACAATCATCATCTTCTCATTAATGATCAATTAAAATGTGATTAATTAATTAGTTAATTGTTGATTAGAACAGTTTAGTAGAGCACAAATCAAGTCAGTTTATATCTAAAACTCATCTCATACACAGAAACTCAACATAAAACATCTATAAAAACACAATAACCTTTCAGCTACACACACACACACACACACACACACACACACACACACACACACACCAGATCATTAGAGAACACACCTTCACCTGGTTCAGTTTGAAGTCCAGGTGGATTCAGGAGACAGTCTGAGGACGTGATCCTGGTTTCACACAGACTTCAGACAGACTGTTGAACAAAGCACTTTATATCTTGACTGTATTAAACTGGACTGTGGTGCAATGAATTCTGGGTAAATTAAGACTTTTTTCAATATTAAAAAAAAAATGGCCGACCAAGGAATCACATCCAACCACTGAGCTCTTTTACCTTCAGCAGAACATGTTTGTCTTTAGGAAGAATTCAACAGTTACAGGATGTTTTATTTTGAAAATTCAGCAAAGAGTAAAACAATAAGAAGAAAAACTCTTTGCTTTCTCCATAACAATGTCAGCAAAACACATACATGAGCCATGTTTTCCTGTGTCTTGTTACCATGGTCTTAGACCTGAGTTAGCCTGTTGATGACATCATATCCTCTTTGGTCATGTGTCAGTGTGTTTGTCTGACAGAAACTCAACACTGACTTTTATCTCGTTTTAAGCCACAGACACTTTTTCCACCTGGGTGTTTTCAGCTGGTTGTTTGCAGCAGATGATTTTAGTCGTCAGACGTCTGGATCTTTATCAGAGGAACAAGCTGCTCAGCTGCAGCTGCTGGAGACGTCCTGTCCTGTCTCTGAGGAGCGTGGCTCAATCTCTGATGTCTAAAGTCAAACTGTTTTATTCAGAGTTTCTCCTGGTTTAATCCCCGGTGTGTTTGTTGTGGAGAGGAGGACTCCTCTGTGGATCGTTCAGCTGCTGGTAAAAACCTGCTGAACGTCTGGTTCATGAGCGATCAGAGAAACAGTCAGAACAAAGGTTAGCATCAACCTCAGCTGCAGCTCTTCTCTGAGTCTCTGTCCTCCGTACAGCGTCGCTCAGACTCACCTGAACCACTGACACTGAAGGAATCCAAACTACAACTCCCACGATCCCCCACTCCTTCATGACATCATCCGTCGTCTGTTGTTATTGTTTTGATTGAGAGGCAGGAGTTACAGACTGAACACGTTGGAACATTTTGTCGAATTGCTAATGTTTTGCTAACGGCTAATATCACAATGTTTACCTCAGTAGTTGCTGCCGTTTTATCCAGGTGTGAAACTAAGTCACTATTAAACTATTAATAAGTCACGTGGAATCAGATCGATGCACAGACTCACGTACTCACAGAAACCTGATCCAGTATTTTAGATCAGTATCAGAACGACTCTAGTTGAACCTGGTTTTGGCTTAGACCCGGATCAGAGGAATAAAAACTGAACTGCGATGCTTCGAAGAATCGATTTGTCACGACAAAAATAAACAGCAACTATTTTGATAATTGATTGATTATCTAAGTAAAGTTTCAGTTTCAGCCTCAGAGATAAAGAAGATGAAGCTTTTCTGTATTTTCCGTCTCAGTAACTCAATCTCTTTCTTCTGACCACGATGACGATTAAATGATGAACTGATTAACTGAGGAAATAATCTGCCAATAAAGAAGATTATTACCTCAAAAGTCTGGTCAGATCTATAATCTTCTGTAACCACATGGTTCCTGATTTAAATCACTTTATTAGATTTAAAACATATTTAGTTTCAGACCAAGTTTCTCTAAGACTTTATGTTTCTCAAAACAAGATGATTCAAATAAAAATCGTTTCAGTTTCAGGATTAAAACTCATGTCAATCAAAAAAAAAATCTATATTTCCTGAACACAACTGATTCTTCAAAATAAAACACTCTCCGGTGTCTCAGTGTTGTTGTGGTTATTTGTGGCTGAAGCTCTGAAATCTGACACTGGAGAGTGGACTCTAAGGCAGCGCTGCCTTCACTGACCTCTGGAAGTTCTTTTTCCTGCTGCCTGCCTGTCTGCTTTATTTATTTATTGTCAGCCAGGGTTTCATAGGTAACAAACCTAAGGAACCAATCCTGTCAACTTGTGGGGGCGGGGCTAAATACACCTGAAACCTTGTCAGTACAGAGAGAGAGAGAGAGAGTTAGCATTAGCACAACCGCTAACACTGTATCAGAGAAGATGCTAACTACGCTAACTGTTCTAACAAGATGCTAACTAGCTAACCGCTCTGAAAGATGCTCACTATGTTAACCATTCTGAGAAAAGGCTAACTACGCTAACCGCTCTGACCCGTCTGCTAGTCTCTGGTTCTGGTCTCAGACTCCTCCTCTGAGTCTGGGTCTGACTGAGGCTCAAACATGTGGCTGAGTCTCTCTGATGTTTCCTCCTCTCACCATCTTGATGCTCTCTGCTCTTTCACCTGTCCACCTGGAGCCAGCAGGTGGTGGGCGGGGCTCAAGGCCTGATCCACATTTCTCAATCAGGAAGTGAGAGGAATTAAACACAATTTGAATCACAGCAGAGGATTTTTTACAGAGTTTAAAACACGGAGGAAACTTTAAACAACACAGGTTCTCACCTGGTGAAGTGAACACCATTAAGCCCCTCCCCCTCTCTCTACAGTTGCTGCCTGTTTAAAGTTTGTCACCTCTAAGCTGGTTTGAAGTAATTTGATCTTGTTTGAAGCTGACCATCCAGACTCATCCTGAAAAATCTGACCACATGACGATCATGTGACAGGTGAGCGCTTTGCTGGGCGCCACTCAGGTGTTTCATGACGTTTTAAATAAAATAAAATTGAGTAAAATAACTCATATATAAACAAACAATAAAAACAACAGCAGAAAGAATGAAATACGACCTTTAAAAAAGAAACGTGTTGAGAACAAATGATTCAACTCGTCTCACATCGTCACAGCTCCAGGTGTCACGACTTCTTTCTAGTGATGTCACAGTGATGTCACTGAGGTCCAGTTCTACTTTCTGCTTCTGCTTTTTGCTGCTGGACATTTTATCTGACAGCTTCACTGACTTTTCAGACTAAAAGGCTTTAGTCCAGCCTGAGTTCAGACTGACGGATGTGTGAGGTCGACTGATAAGAGTGTCACTGACATCACGCTGGTGGTGAAGAGGCCGCTGATCCTGAGTCAGCTGTTTTCACCGTTCACCCAGCTGCTGATGTCACAGTGGAGCATAAAATCAGCTGATGATGTCACAGTCTGCAGTAAATATATTCTCTACAGGTGTGATGTACCATGTGACCTGACGTCCACAGTTTGACCATGTGGTCTCTCTCCTCACTAACTTCCTGTCTGTCTCCACTGTAAACGGACACACACACTGAGCAGATATCAGTGACACACACACTCAGCTGTTATCTTAGTGCTGCAGACTTCAGGAGGGAGAAGGGGGGGTCACTGAATCTAGACAAACCCTTAAAGAAGCTTTGTTCTGGCTAACAGTTGTAGACCAGGGTTAAGCTAACAGGGCTAACAGTTGTTCTTAACCAGGGTTACGCTAACAGGGCTAACAGTTGTTGTAAACCAGGGTTAAGCTAACAGGGCTAACAGTTGTTCTTAACCAGGGTTAAGCTAACAGGGCTAACAGTTGTTCTTAACCAGGGTTAAGCTAACAGGGCTAACAGTTGTTCTTAACCAGGGTTACGCTAACAGGGCTAACAGTTGTTCTAAACCAGGGTTAAGCTAACAGGGCTAACAGTTGTTCTTAACCAGGGTTAAGCTAACAGGGCTAACAGTTGTTCTTAACCAGGGTTAAGCTAACAGGGCTAACAGTTGTTCTAAACCAGGGTTAAGCTAACAGGGCTAACAGTTGTTCTAAACCAGGGTTAAGCTAACAGGGCTAACAGTTGTTCTAAACCAGGGTTAAGCTAACAGGGCTAACAGTTGTTCTAAACCAGGGTTAAGCTAACAGGGCTAACAGTTGTTCTAAACCAGGGCTAAGCTAACAGGGCTAACAGTTGTTCTAAACCAGGGCTAAGCTAACAAGGTTAACAGTTGTTCTAAACCAGGGCTAAGCTAACAAGGCTAACAGTTGTTCTAAACCAGGGCTAAGCTAATGAGGATGAGAGTGGTCCGACCAGCCCTAACAGAACAGGTCTAAGGACACACGTGTTCTAATCAAGGTGTGTGTGTGTGTGTGTGTGTGTGTGCGTGTGTGCGTGCGTGCGTGTGTGTGTGTGTGTGCTGCAGTGTGTAATAAAGTCTGAGACTCGAGGCTTCAGATGAGTCATGCTGCTGCTGCTGCTGCACCATGACAACAGCACGGGGGGGGGGGGTTCTCTGAATGAGGCTGAACTGGTGGATTATTCCAGATCATCACTGCACACGTTCTACACAGAACCAACAGGAACAACAGTGTAAAACCTGTGAGCGCCACCTGCAGCTACAGTAAATACACACATCTACATCCTGATGATTCACCTGTTCTCCGGCTGAAGGTGTGACGTCTGTCCTGAGTGGGGTTTGCAGGACACCCCTCTCAGGCTTCCCTCTGGTTTCTGTCTCAGAGTCTGAATATGAAGAATTCTGCTCCAGTCCTCGGACCTGTTGCCTTCAGGTGATGGACAGTGTGTCAGATTCATTGGGACAGGTGTGTGCAGGTAGAGACAACAGGAAGTCAGTCACTGCAGGTTGTGTGCAGGTGGAGCTGCAGCAGTGACACAGGTCAGGGAGGAGGTTCAGATGTTTAGAGTGAATCTGGTCTTTGCTGACCTGCAGCGGTCCCCCTTCTCACCTGGCTGCAGTGGTGTACGGGCGTTCTCCAGGACTGGTGACATCACTGTTGGGCGTGGCCACAGGTGCAACAGACTGAAACTAACTAACACAGAGAACAGAGAAACATGGCTAACAATTGACCAGGGCTAAGCTAACAGGGCTAACAGTTGTTCTAAACACGGGCTAAGCTAACAGGGCTAACAGTCAGTCAATGAGTTGGTCACTGCGGTGGTGCTTGTTGAAGGATGGAGGTGGGGGTGGGTGAGAGGTGGGGGTTGAGGGTTGGGGATTGGGGGTGGGGGGGGTCCAGTATAGCGACCTCAGATGTTTCTTTGTTCTCTGAGTCTGTGATGTAACGATGATGTCATCGGTCGGAGCGCCGTCACTGTTGTTTTGTGACAAACGTCCACCGAGGCGGAAAAACTGGGTCAGGAGTTGCAGCCGGCGTCACCATGGCAACGGGATCAGTAGGGCACAGAGGAGGGAGCTGCCTGCTGCTGCTCAGGCATGCTGGGAAATGTAGTCAGCTCCTCTCTGTGTGATAATCAGTATTGATAATAACACTGACTTATTTCTGCCTGCAGCCTGTAGATGTATTTTGTTCATGTTAATAAAGTTTTCTTCCTCGCTCAGGTTCTCAGCAAGGATGCGGCAGTGAGCTGATCGTTACCATGGCGATATTCGGCGGCGGCCAGCCGTGCGGCGGTCAGGACAACTGCTCGGCTCACAGCGAGTCCAAAGATTACTGTTACTCTGCTCGTATCCGCAGCACGGTGCTGCAGGGGCTGCCGTTCGGAGGAGTCCCCACCGTGCTCGCCCTCGACTTCATGTGCTTCCTGGTGAGTCGCCGCTGCCGCTGCACACGCTCAGTTCATGACAAGTAGACTGGGATCCTGGACTCTCACTGCACACGGTCTGGTTTCTGAGAGCTGGTCTGTGAGCAGCTGCCATGGCAACCAAGCAGACACAAACCAACCTGAGAGCGAGGTTTCGAGAGGTCGCCCTGTGACCAGCTCCTCAGTGCTCTGCTGCAGTGCATTGTGGGACAGTGAGCTTCAGTGTTGAATCCGGACACAGATCTGGTTGGTGTAAAAAAAGGGTGCATTGTGGGAGCTGCTGCTGTTTTGGTTTCCCTGCTGTGACCTTCACTGACTGTTGGAAAAATCAATACTGGCGGAAAGTCCACATCCACCCACATAATGATGCTCAGTGTGTTTCTGTCTGTGACCTTTGACCTCTGACGTACATCCCTTTCTACTCCCTCTGTCAGAATGTGTATTGAGAATTATTATGACCTATACAGTGCACTCATAGTGTCCCACAATGCATCTTGACAAGTACTGATATATATATCTACCATGATGCATTGCACTGACTCACACTCAGCCCCTGTGTTTTTACTCTTCAACTAACAGGAAGTCCTCCTCTCTTCTTCAGGTGCTGCTCTTTGTCTTCTCTATTCTACGAAAGGTTGCGTGGGACTATGGCCGCCTGGCGCTGGTCACCGACGCTGACAGGTAAAGATTTAATCACACGCAGTCATAACGAGGTGGGAGGAGCCTGTGGAGAACAAACAGCTCTCAGGTGGCTCTTCACATCATTACTGCTCCCTGAGGCCGGGGGGGCAGAAAGGTTTATTCCTTCTTCCTGTCTCTTGGTTGTGAAGAGTTGCATGTTGGGTAGTTTGTGTAATTAGCACCATAAGTTAATTATTAGGTAAGATAAAGATGGAGTCAGATGGTTTTGGCTTCTACAGTCTCAGTTGGACAGAGATTTGATGAAACTAATAAAGATAAGAAGGACTCGACCTGTGGAGGTGAAGAACCTGATCGTCTCCTGACATGTTATTGATATTCGACTTTTCCTGAAGGGAAACCATGGTAACTGGTTAGCAGGTTAGATAAACAGAGTACATTATCGCGGTAACTGATTCAGAGTTAAAGTGATCTGATCAGGCCCTGATGATAAATACAGATGCTGTGATGCAGTTTACCTGTTGTCGTGTTGTACAGGTGTAGGACAGGTGTAGGACAGGTGTAGGACAGGTGTTGGACAGGTGTTGGACAGGTGTAGGACAGGTGTTGGACAGGTGTTGTCCAGGTGTAGGACAGGTGTTGGACAGGTGTACGACAGGTGTTAGACAGGTATAGGACAGGTGTTGGACAGATATTGGACAGGTTTTTGACAGGTGTTCGACAGGTGTTGTCCAGGTGTTGGACAGGATTTTGACAGGTGTTGGACAGATGTTGGACAGGTGTTGGACAGATGTTGGACAGGTGTTGGACAGGTTTTTGACAGGTGTTGGGAAGATGTTCGACAGGTGTTGACAGGTGTTGGACAGGTGTTGACAGGTGTTGGACAGGTGTTGGACAGTTTTTTGACAGGTGTTGGACAGGTTTTTGACAGGTGTTTGACAGATGTTGGACAGGTGTTGGACAGGTGTTGACACGTGTTTGATAGGTGTTGGACAGGTGTTGGACAGATGTTGGACAGGTGTTGACAGTTGTTGGACAGGTGTTTGACAGATGTTGGACAGGTGTTGACCCGTGTTTGACAGATGTTGGACAGGTGTTGACAGAGTGTGACTCATGAGAACAGAGTGTTAGAGCAGCTGGACAGAGAGAGACAGGAAACAGGAAGTGAAGCTGGTGAATCCTGAACAACGTCAGACTTTAACAGCTGAAGAAGAAATGCAGGTGTTTGATTGATGGACTCTTCTTCTTCTTCTTGTGTCTGAACTTGTGTTGTTGTGGTCCTCGGTGACGTTTCTCTCTCACAGCAGCTTTTGTTGTCTTTCTGTTTCTCCTTAAGACTGAAGAAGCGTTTCAGCGACCTGGAGGAGCGGGAATAGTATGTTGCTGCTTCCTCCATGTTTGACCTGTCTGCTAACATCTTCCTCCTCCTCCTCCTCCTCCTCCTCCTCCTCTTCCTCTTCTGGTGTCATTAACAGAGTTCCTGTCTCTGGTGCACTAACACCTCGACTTCTTCTTCATTTCAGTTTGTGTGTGTCTATGTATGGGGGGTCGTTTGTGCCACGACCACATGGATGTTTGTGTCTTACTGTTAAATCTTATCATGAACATGAGATGAACAGACACATCCAGGCCTCCGCACCATGACTCCGCCTCCGTCTGTGTGACGGAGGTCTGAGGCAGATTAATGACGCAACAGGACAGGAAGGAGCTGATCTGTGTGGCACCAATCACCCCCCATACCCCATGAAGACTGACCTGAGTGTGTGTGTGTGTGTGTGTGTGTGTGTGTGTGTGTGTGTGTGTGTGTGTGTGCACCATATTTAAATGAAACAAAGGGTGTCTTTGGATCAGTGCTGGCTAATGTGATGCTAACAGGTGTGATGCTAACAGGTGTGATGCTAACTCTGCTCCACACTTCTCTCCATGTTACTGTGAATTCAGCCGAAGGCGAGACAGAGATAACTATGAGCCGGTGAAAAGGTAACAGGCTGTTTGTGTGTAGCTCAGTGTGTCGTGACCCTGTGACGTGCTAGTTAGCTCGTTAGCTCGTTAGCTGACCCGACACAGTAGAGCTGAGCTTGGACTCGTGCGTCCAGATGAGTTAGTGCCTGGGACAGGTGAGGTCAGCTCGGCACAAACACTGTGACATCATCTCAACGAGGTCACAACACCAAACCAGCCTCACTACAAACACATAGTGACATGTAACCTTCACAGATGACGTGTTTGTTTTCCGTCAGAATACTCATTATTAGTACACACACACACACACACACACACACACACACTGATATTACATCAGATTCAGGGCTCAGTATTCTGCTCAAGGACACTTCGACATGTGGACAGGAAGAGCTGGGAATCGAACCGCCGACCTTCTGATGAGTGGATTTACACCGCTCCTGATATAAAACCGACTATTACACAGAAAAATAAAAGTCTCATGACTTCCTGAGAAACTTAGGTTTGATCTATTTCTGATTAATTATCACTGGGGGAAAAGTCTCTACAGAGACATCAGAGCTGACTGTTCTACACAGGAGAATGACCATGGACTCTGACTGAAAGCTCAGGAGCTGGGTTGTTAGCTGCTCCTCACCTCTCTGAAAACGTTGGAGTGAATTTCCAAACAGACGATATTTTAATAAACTGACCACAGATTAAAAATATAAAGTGTTTCTGTCAGATCTGAAAACTGAATCAAAAACCTCCAGTGACGTTAAACCAGCGGCAGCAGCAGTGGTTAAAGCTGAACACCTGGACTGAGGTGGGAACACGTCTGAGGTGAATCTGTGGACAGGAAGCTGTCGGTGTCCACTTCCTGTTAGCTCCCTCTGTGTTCAGTGTCACATGTTGGAGGAACCAGAGGAACTAACCTCAGGGTCCAATCAGCTTTCAGATGTCAAATGTTAGAGCGGCTACATGCTAACAGCTAACGGTCAGCTGACTCCTCCCTGTCTGTCTCCACAGCGTTGCCTCGGCGATGCACTCAGAGACGCCCGACCGCTACGAACGCCTCACCTCCGTCTCCAGCTCCATCGACTTCGACCAGAGAGACAACGTAAGGACACATCACCCCTGCTCCTCCTCTTCCTCACTGTCTTCTTCAGAGGTTTTAGGGCTGTGAGGGGGCCCCGGGGGGATGAGGGACAGGTGAAGGGGGGTGTACAGTGAGAGCTGAGAGGGACAGGTGTGTGCAGGTGTGTGTGTCAGATCTGGACTTCCTGCAGTGAGAGTGGAGCTCAGCCGGTTTCTGTGTCTGTTAATCTGTTGATGATAATCCAGATTAACACCGAGCGGCTCAGAGGAGTTCAACCTGAGACCACCGGTCCTCATCTGAAGCTCCACCCACTCACCTGAACACACCTGACCACACCCACAGGAAGCGAATTCTTCATGATTTAGATAGAAAATCATTTTAGAAATGCAGATTTTTGTCTGAGACATGAAACAGTGACGAACAAGTAAAATCAAAGGATTAGAAATGAAAGAATTAGTGTCATGAAATGAAAAACAAGTAAAGACTCAAACTTCACCTCCTGGCTGTTTGTTTTCTGTGTGTGTTTCTACCTGCAGGGCTTCTGCTCGTGGCTCACGGCCATCTTCAGAATAAAGTGAGTCTAAAACACATTAGCCACTCAAAAATTCAAGATGGCTGCCATTTCCAAGATGGCTGCCATTTCTGGCGAGGAAATGTCGTTTTTTGCAATAAATTCACCCACAAGTTTCCATATGAGTGATCCAGGTGTCAAATCAAACAATTCAACAACATTTACTACACTGTAAAAAAATTACACCTGTGAAAGTGTTAAGTTTACCTACATTTTACAAATTAAAAGTCCTGCTGAATTAGAGCAATCACACAGAGAGGCCAGAAACCTGGTCAGCATAAAAATCATTTTAATTATTTACAATAATTAATTGACATTAAGAAATTAAATGAATTTTGTCAAAAACAGGACACAACTGAAACATCCTTGAAATCTGTCCAGTGGGTTTCACTGTGTATGTCTGTAAATATGTGTTTTCTATGCTGGAAATGGCGGCCATCTTGGAAAATGGCAGCTTTTTGAAATTTCAAGTGGCTAATTATCTGCTGCAGTAAGACTGAACAGAATAGTCCGTTACAACAAAGATGGTGGTTGTGTGACACATGTCCCACCCCTCCCTGTTTTTATAGATTTAGATTTAAATAAGATGTTTGTACATGTTGCTACATAGCTAACATTAGCATTAGCAGCTGTTTACTGACCAGTGTAGAAGAAACTAGAGTTCAACATGAAACTTTGTCTCCAGAGGTGGAAACAAACACCACCGTTCTTCTACTGAAGTTAGCATGCTAACCAGCTAGCCCTGGCTAATGTTGGCTAATAACAAAACTTCTCCTCCTCCTGCAGGGATGAGGAGATCAGGGAGAAATGTGGGGAGGATGCTGTCCACTACCTTTCCTTCCAGCGTCACATCATCGGGCTGCTGGTTGTCGTGGGCGTCCTCTCCGTCGGCATCGTCCTACCTGTCAACTTCTCTGGAGACCTGCTGGGTAAGAGCGACACAGCCACACCTGTCAGAGGTCAGGGTCCATCCACAGGAAGGTGATCAGATATCTGAAATGAAAACCAGGGACATTTCCAGTCTGAGCTTCAATGAATCATTAAAATATCCAACGTCTTTACCTATGAAATCGGGGGAACGGTTCACAAGATCCACGGTTCGCTTCGTGTCACAGTTTTTGCATCAGTTTTTGATTTGGTATACGTTGGTTTACGTATAAGAGCTACGTAGACTGTGTCAGACAGCTCTTTGACAAGTCCTCTTCGTGTCTCTTCATAAAGTTTGGGAATTACCGTGTTGCTGAAGTGTCGGCGGGAGGGACGTTATATTATATATTATATACTCGAGTACTTTAATCATATGCTTAAATCCTGCATCCTCCACCACGGCGTAAGGCTGCTTATCTTTCGCTATGAACCTTCCTACCCGACTCTCAGCTCTCTCCTCCTCCTGTGTGACACACTGGGGTGACGTCTCCGTAGGTGAGCCAACACATTGGACGTTTTGCCGCTAGCATGAGCAACACTTGTTGCACAGTGCTTGCACAAAGTCGCAGTTTTATCCACCACTTTCTTATTGCATCATCGTAGGCAGCACTAAATCCAAAATGCTCCCACACAGCAGACCTTAACGGTGCTGCTGGCGCATCCTCTCACTCTGGGCCTCCTTGGTCTTTTCCACTCGCCATTTCCACAACTGACCTGGCTGCTGCACTCGAACCTTAACCCCTCCGCCTCCGTGCCAAATGGAAAAAAGATCTCACTGGGTTACTGGCGCAAGGCTGCACATGCCCCGAACCGAGACAGGTGAACCGAGCGGGACAGATTTTTTCCGTGAACCGTTCCATCCCTACTATAAAACAAAAAAGGGGACAGTCCCAGTTTCATGTATTTTGAACATGGTAACTGTTTTACTGTGATAAACTATGGTGAAGGCCGACTGATGAAATGATGACTCCCTACCTTTGATGAGTCACAAAGTCCTATTGTCTATCTGTTTATATTCCTTTAGTTTGTAATGGTCCACTGATCAAATGAATCAAAAGCATTTTAAGTAAAAGATTGTGGATATTGTCATGTGAAGTCGATCGCAGACAGTCAGACAAACTCTTCTTCTTCACTTCTTCCAACATAAAAACTATTTTTTCAAGTTCTGGCTGGGAGGCTTTGGGTATCTTTGTTTTTGTTAATTTACTGCCTGGTTATGAACTCATAACCAATGAGTGAGCCAGCTAACCTTTTCTCTGCCTAGATACAACAAGAAAAAAGATAAATCTGATTGGATAACTCTATTTTGACGTGTTAGCTTCACTTCTGCAGTCATCAGACAGTGCCCTCTGTTGGCCAAAATAAACGCAACGCTCAAAGTCTGTTTGAATTTCACAGTTAAAGAACAGGGACATTTCCGGGGACAGCCACCAAAACAGGGACTGTCCCCAGAAATCAGGGACATCTGGTCACCGTGATCCAGAGCAGTTCTCAAAACCTCACCTGTGACCTCCTGACACTAAGACCTTTTCTGCTGACTGACTCCAGCAGGTGGACTGAGACCTGCAGACTCTGGACCCTGGTCTTGGTTTTTCTCTCACAGTGTTCTCACCTTGTGTCTCATTTAGTCAGAATTATCAGTAAACATGCTTTCCTCAGCCGAGGAGCCCCCGGACCTCCTTCTAAAGAAGGTAACAGTAGGAGCTGCTGGTCTGTCGGTGTGTGTGCTGTCTGATGGTAGAGCAGCGTGGTGTCCCTGTGTTTCAGTCCTGTAGTGACTCTGAATCGTGTAGAATCCACCTGACTTCTTCTTCTCCTGCAGTAAGAACACAGTCGCTGGTGTAAACGCCGTGTAACGACTCGTCAGTCATAATAACACTGCTGGTTACCTGCTGGCGGGTCACTTTGAATAAAAAGTTTATATAAATATAAAACACCCTGAGGAACTGAAGCTTTTCTACATCAGCTCTGATCCCTGGGGTTGAACTTTTGTTTCCATGGAAACAGCCCCTATTTAGAAACAGAGCGTCATCACGTTTGAGCAACATGTCACAGATTTGAAGTGGGAGGAGTCTCATGTCCAGATGACCTGAGGTGTAATCTGTCACCATAACAACTGTTGCTGTAGGTTGGAGTTGGAGTAGCTCAAACTCCTTCTGCTGAGGAAGATCATGTGACCAAAAGCTACAGAACAGCTACTAAATAGACTTAATGTTGAGGTCGTTTCATCAGCTGCTGTTTCCAGATCAGGAGGGAATTTAGAGTCTCAGGTGAATGAGCTGCACCTGAGACCGGTTCTACAGGTCCAGGACTGATGATGATGATGATGATGATGATGATGATGATGATGATGATGATGGTCTGACTTCTACTCTTGTTTATTCCAGAAAATAACGCCTACAGCTTTGGACGCACCACGATAGCCAATCTGAAGTCTGAGTGAGTCTGTCAGGATCTCTGCTGGTGTCATAGCCTAGCTTAGCAGGGGGAAGCAGGGGGAAACTGTTAGCCTAGCTTAGCACAAAGACCGGAAGCAGGGGGAAACTGTTAGCCTAGCTTAGCACAAAGACCGGAAGCAGGGGGAAACTGTTAGCCTAGCTTAGCACAAAGACTGGAAGCAGGGGGAAACTGTTAGCCTACCTTAGCACAAAGACCGGAAGCAGGGGGAAACTGTTAGCCTAGCTTAGCACAAAGACTGGAAGCAGGGGGAAACTGTTAGCCTAGCTTAGCACAAAGTCTGGAAGCAGTGGAATACTGTTAGCCTAGCTTAGCACAGAGACAGGAATCATGGGGAAGTGTTAGCTTAGCACAGAGACAGGAGGCAGGGGGAACTGTTAGCTTAGCTTAGCACAGAGCCAGGAATCAGGGGGAAGTGTTAGCCTAGCTGCAGGTGTGTAGCCTGGAGTTTATGTTTCCTTGGGTTTTGTCTTGCAGGACGAACCTGTTGTGGCTTCACACCTCGTTCGCCTTCATGTATCTGCTGCTGACCGTCTACAGCATGAGGAGACACACGTCCAAGATGCACTACAAGGAGGATGACCTGGTAGGGCCCCACACACACACACACACACACACACACACACACACACAAACACACACACACACACACACAAACACACACACACACAAACACACACACACACACACACAAACACACACACACACACACACACACACACACAAACACAGACACACACACACACACACACACACACACACACACACACACACACACTGGTTTTCTGCGACTTGTGTGTTTAATCCCAGTTTTCTGTCTTGCAGGTGAAACGCACTTTATTCATTAACGGCATCTCGAAATATGCTGAGGAGAGTCAGATCAAACAGCATTTTGAGTAAGTTCACTGATCTTCCTCCTGATGATGATGATGATGATGATGATGATGATGATGATGATGATGATGATGATGATGATGATGATGATGATGATGAAGTCAGACCATAAACAGCAGAATTAAATGTTTAGCTCAATGTGCAGTTATTTAAAAAATGTATAAATATAAATGTACAACACAGACATGAACAGACAGACGTGTCATTCATGATAATAAGGTGGTGCAGACAGGATTGTTCACGTCGTAGATCCTGATCATTGTGATCTTTGATCTTTGACCTCCAGGATCTCACCTGTTCCCTCTCTCTCCTCAGACAGGCGTATGAGAACTGCACGGTACTGGAGGCTCGGATCTGCTACAACGTGGCCAAACTGATGTCTCTGAACGCTGAGAGGTGAGAGGGTCAGGGCCCAGTGCATGCTGGGATACACTGCTGATCACAGATCACAGCTGATGAAACAACTCTGCTCTGTGTGTTTGTTCTACAGGAAGAAGACGGAGCGCAGTAAGAAGTTCTTCACTGACCTGATGGCGAAGGAACACGTTCCCACCATGATCAACCCCAAACCCTGCGGACACCTCTGCTGCTGCGCCATCACCGGCTGCGAGGAGGTGACGCCGCTCAGTGAACTACAGCTGACACTTTAGGTTTTACAGTGTGTCCTGGTCTGATCAGCTGATCAGCTGATCAGAGGCAGGTCACGCTGGTTCAGATGAAGGCTGATCTTTAGATCATCAGTCACACGTCAGTTTTCAATCACAGTTAAAACTTTCAACTTCTTAAACAGCTGAGAGTTGGTTTTTGTTTTTTTGCTTCAGACTCTCAGCAGCTGTAAAACAGTGGTGGTCATGTAAACTTAATTTAAAGAGCAAACAGACGTGATCCTGTGTCTTTGTGTCACCTGACCACAGGTAGCGTGTCAGTCAACCACATGAAATATTTTAAAGGAGTGACATTAACGTTACCGACTGATTCAAGTCGTCAAGCAACACTGTGCTACATGCTACGGTGCTAGTTAGCATGATATTCCCTCCTGTTATCATTAAATATATAACAGGCTTCACCTGCAGTGTCACACACCTGTGTCCAGCTGTTTTACTTCAGGATGAGGAAACGGTTATCAGTTTCACCTCCCTTGTGTTTGGGAACCAAAGTTTACAGGTTGTGTTCTCTAGCGTTCTCCAGAGCGGAGCCCTTCTTCATTCTGATTGGTTGCTGCTGAACTGTGTCATAGCTGATTAACATAAAGTTTTTCTGACTTCCTGTCACTGTGACGCTCTCTGGTTATTCATGTGGCGCCACCAGCAGGGCACAGTTCTGATTACAGCTCACACGAATACACCGAACCTTAAACTCATCAGCTACAGGCTAATGTTAGCATCAGTGCTAACATGCTAGCGTGTTAGTAAACAGTGCGTTGTGTTCGTGGTGCAGGAGGAGGCGGTCAGCTACTACACCAAGAGAGAGGCCAAGCTGAAGGAGGAGTACAGGAAGGAGAAGGAGAAGGTCCACACCAAACCTCTGGGCATGGCCTTCGTCACCTTCCAGAACGAGGCCATGACCGCCATGTGAGCCCCGCCCTAACCCCCCCCTATGTTAACCCCACCCCTCTGTCTCTGATCTGACAGAGGTGTTGTTTCTGTTGTTAATGATGTTTGGATTTAAATTTAGATTCTGACTTTGTCTCGTTTCGTTTTGTCTCATCCTTTGACCCCACCCCCTCTCTGTGGCCCTGCCCCCTCTGTCTTCACAGTATTTTGAAGGACTTTAACGCCTGTCAGGTTCAGGGCTGTCACTGTCGTCAGGAGCCTCGTTCCTCTCAGTTCAGCGACGTCCTTCACGTTCACAACTGGAGCGTCTCGTATGCGCCCGACCCGCAGAACGTCCGCTGGTATGTCCGCGAGCTCCGCCCACCTGAGACCCCACCACACACCAAACAAACAAACCCTCTCAGATTACCTGATATTGTGTTCCGGTTCCTTCCTGCAGGGAGCACCTGTCGCTGGGCGGGATCTCCTGGTGGATCCGCTGCTTCATCATCAATTGCATCCTCTTCATCCTGCTCTTCTTCCTCACCACGCCCGCCATCATCATCTCCACCATGGACAAGTTCAACGTCACCAAACCTGTCGAGTATCTCAACGTAAGAAACCACGAGCCTGTTCGTCACTGAGCAGGTCGTCAGGGGGACGAGAGTCGTTACTGACATGATGAGCCTGTTTACTGAGCTCTTTGTTTGTTTGTTTACCTGTCTGTATGTTTGTTTATTGGTCTCTTTGTTTACCTGTTTGTGTGTTTACCTGTTTCTTTGTTTGTTTACCTGTCTCTTTGTTTGTTTATCTGTTTGTTTGTTTGTTTGTTTGTTTACCCGTCTGTTTGTTTACCTGTCTCTTTGTTTGTTTATCTGTTTGTTTGTTTGTTTACCTGTTGGTTTGTTTGTTTACCCGTCTCTTTGTTTGTTTATCTGTTTGTTTGTTTGTTTACCTGTCTGTTTGTTTGTTTATCTGTTTGTTTGTTTGTTTACCTGTCTGTTTGGTTGTTTACCCGTCTCTTTGTTTGTTTATCGGTCTCTTTGTTTATCTGTTTGTTTGTTTACCTGTCTGTTTGGTTGTTTTCTTGGACAGAATCCCATCGTCACTCAGTTCTTCCCCACTCTGCTGCTCTGGGCGTTCTCTGCTCTCCTTCCCACCATCGTCTACTACTCTGCGTTCTTCGAGGCTCACTGGACCAGGTAACTCTCCCTCCTTTTCATCGTCTTCATCACTGCTGCAGCCCTGAGCTGTTATTCACACTTCTAAAGTAAAGCCAAGTAAACCCTGATCTCACTCTGATCTCACCCTGATTTCACCCTGATCTCACCCTGATCTCACCCTGATCTCACCCTGATCTCACCCTGATTTCACCCTGATCCCACCCTGATCTCACCCTGATCTCACCCTGATCCGACCCTGATTTCACCCTGATTTCACCCTGATTTCACCCTGATTTCACCCTGATCCGACCCTGATCCGACCCTGATCCGACCCTGATCTCACCCTGATCTCACCCTGATCCCACCCTGATCCCACCCTGATCTCACCCTGATTTCACCCTGATTTCACCCTGATTTCACCCTGATCCCACCCTGATCTCACCCTGATCTCACCCTGATCTCACCCTGATCTCACCCTGATCCGACCCCCTCTGTGTGTCCACAGATCTGGAGAAAACAGAACCACGATGCACAAATGTTACACCTTCCTGATCTTCATGGTTCTGCTGCTGCCGTCTCTCGGACTGAGCAGGTGATAAAAACAGCTGGACTGTAAGAATCCTGAGTGACCTTTGACCTCTGCTGTCCTCGCTAACATGTCTCTGTCTCCTCCAGTCTGGACGTTTTCTTCCGCTGGCTCTTTGACAGGAAGTTCCTGGCTGATGCTAAAGTCAGGTTTGAGTGAGTGATTTTTAGTTTATCACAGTGTATTAGTATGTGTATCATTTAACCACATTTACATTTGTGTGCATATGATTTATGACTTTAAACATTAAAAGTACATTTCCATTTAAGTTTTGAATTAAATCTTTAAAAGTCTAATTTTGATTTTCATGTTAAAATGAAAAATTATTTTAAAATTCTAATGAAATCTTAATTTTCAGTTTACTCTAAACAATCACATTCAAATGATTTTATTTGTTTGTTTTTTATTTTAGTTGTAACTATGTATTTTAAACAAAAATCTAAATGAACATTTGATTTTTTTCTTATTTAATTAGATTTAAAATGTAAGAAATCCAAATAAACATTTAACCATTTTAAATATTTAATTCCATTTTTAAATGAATAATTAATATTGGCAGTCCTGAACTTCTGTCATATGAGGTGATAACTGTATCTGAAGCTTTTGTTCAGGTGCTCTTATTCTGAAACAGCTTGATGTCCCTGCAGATATTATCCTTTAATAAATGATCAGTTATTGATCAGTCATTTGAAGGACGTTCTGTCCGCTGTGTCCCCTTCAGGTGCGTCTTCCTGCCAGATAACGGAGCGTTCTTTGTGAACTACGTCATCGCCTCTGCGTTCATCGGGAACGCCATGGACCTGCTGCGGATCCCCGGTCTGCTCATGTACATGATCCGGCTGTGCCTGGCTCGCTCCGCCGCCGACCGCCGCAACGTCAAGAGGGTGAGGACGGACACGGACGCAGATCAGTTTATCACAACACAACCAGATCACGTCCAAGTCCTCCATTGTTTCTGTGTCTGTTGTCTTTATGTGGACATCTGAATCTGACAGTAAAGTTCTGTCTTCTCCTGGTGTTACTCAACATGGCCGCCTCGTGGTGGCACTGCTGTGACTGTATTAAAGTGTGGTGTGTCGTCCCTTCAGCACCAGGCCTATGAGTTCCAGTTCGGAGCAGCCTACGCCTGGATGATGAACGTCTTCACGGTTGTGATGGCCTACAGCATCACCTGCCCCATCATTGTCCCCTTCGGTCAGTCTCAGCCGCCCTGCAGCGACACAGCTGTCACGCAGTATTACAGTACAGACATGTATATACTATATACTGTTACTATAGTCTACTATATTATATGTATGTACATTATAGTACACATGACAAAGATCTCAGAGTGAAGAAAGTCAAGATGAGTCTCAGTCAGCTGATACGATCCAAACTCGAGTCCAGACCTCCACCAAGACCCAACAAACATCTGGATCATGATCCGGATCTGCACCAGCACCATCAATATGTCTGACTTTTAGATCCAGATCCAAACGTGATTTCCTCAGAAATAAACAAAGTTGTAGAAAAATGTTTGATCTCGCAAAGTGAGGAAAGTGATAAAGAATTTGCTGCTTTAACTGGATCAGTACCAAAATCTAATGGTTTATTTCCTGGTCCATGATCCTTCACCTGGTTTGGTGCAAATCAGTTCAGACACACACACACACACACACACACACACACACACACACACACACACACACACACAGGTCAGTCCACAGAAGTCCAGTCAGAGGTGACAACCCAGATCAGATATATTGAGTCATCTGTGGGACGTCCTGACTAAGCAGCTCACCTGTGCCCCTGCAGGTCTGATGTACATGCTGCTGAAACACCTGGTGGACCGGTACAACATGTACTACGCCTACCTGCCCTCCAAGCTGGACAAGAAGATCCACTCCGGAGCCGTCACCCAGGTGGTGGCTGCGCCCATCCTCTGCCTCTTCTGGCTCCTCTTCTTCTCCACCGTACGCACAGGTAAGCCCCGCCCCCTGTTGGACGTACCACTAAACCACCTTTTCTACTTGATCAATGTCCTTTTCAGTCTCAAGTCAGTCAAGACGAGTCCAAATCAATTAGTTGAGGCAGGTGTATCAGTGCGTGAGAGGTCGTTGTCAGATGCTAACTGATGCTAATGTGCCGTCAGGTTTCAAGACGCCGACCTCCATGTTCACTCTGGTGGTGCTGATCGTCACCATCGTGGTCTGCCTGTCCCACGTCTGTTTCGGACACTTCAAGTATCTTAGTGCTCACAACTACAAGGTACAGCAGCCGGTCCGTCACAGGTTCAGTCACATGAACGCTTCTGTTCAGGACACTGTCTCACTCTGTCTGTGTCTCAGATCGACACCAAGGAGACCGACGTGGACACGGTTGAGAACGGACGTCCGGCTCGTCCCTCGTCCTCCCCGACCACCAAGTCTCAGGTGAGTGGATTTAACTCGTTCCTGGTTTGTTTGCTCGCTCACACATTAGACTAGTTGTTGAGTTTATGAGGTTGTTAACGAGGAAGTTTTAATTCTTGAGTTTAAACAATCTCAACTGAAGGTCCTCTTATTTTTATATGTTATGGAGCTTTTGACAGTGTCATTGGTCTTCATCATCAGTGTAGGTCTAGTCTGTTTGTAGTGTCCTGAAGTGTAACACATGTAGCCGATCTTTGTCTTTGTTATAAAATACAAATGATTTACGTCAGGAACCGTAGAAAGAGTCTCGACGCCGATCATGATGCCACCTTCTGGTATCTGTGGTGTTTTCCGTCACAGTCAGTGAGGTTTGATTCCCAGGACGAGTTAGGATCCTGTGAACTCTGTGTTTTGTCTCCTCCTGCTGGTTAACCTGGGTGCTGTGGTTTTGTGTGGTGCAGCAGCAGCAGCAGCAGCAGCAGCAGCAGCAGATGTGCATCGCTCAGGTGCTCCAGGACCCAAACTCGGACGAGCCAGGCGGGGGCAGCGGCGAGGAGGACCGCGGGTCGTCTCAGGACGAGGAGATGCTGAACGGAGGGAACAGCATCAACGAGGCGGATTTCCAGTCAGGGGAGGACAGTCTGATCGCCAACGAGGTCCACCAGTAGCTGGAGGTGGAGCCAGAGGGAGGGGGCGGAGCTAGTTGAGGGTCCATACCCACACAACATTTGGAAAATAAAGCTGACTAAAGAATCACTAAACACATACAGACATACAATAGACTGATACGGTTAGCTCCACCTCCTCCTGGCTCGAAGACTTGACCCTGACCTTTGACGCCGGCGCTGGGTCGCCAACATCCAGTCCTGCACGTCTGTGGAAACTTGATGGACATCAAACTGTTTCACAGGAAGTCACTGTACATAATCACAAAGCCAAAAGTTTTTTTTTTTGTGTTTGTTTTTTCTCTGGGGGAGGGGGACAGGGTTTAAAAATTCGTGCCTGGGCTGAATTTTGTTCGTTCGCATTCGTGTCTTGACTCCTGATCCCACCGCAGGTCGCCGGGACTCGACCGAGGGGTCAAAGCTGATGCTGATGCTGTGTTTTTCCTCAGCCTGGTAGATGCCTCCAAACAAACCCCCGCCGTTGCCGCCGTCCTCCGTTAACGGAGTGCTAAATAACTCGCCAAGCTCTTGTAGTGGTAGAAGCCTCGCTTACGCAGACGCATCGCAGTCTCCTTTCCCTGTTCGACGTTCTCCTCTTTCTTTTCGTGGAACCCGTGGGTCTTGGATTTTGCTGGTACGTTCACACATCACCTGGAAGTTTTGGGTTTTTTTTGATCTGCCAAGCTTTCACTGCATGTTGTTCAAAGTGCTGTCTGGATTAACAACGTCGCCACTTTTGGACAATGTCATCCATCACCGGACTGAAGTGGCCGACGAACTCACCTGATCTCCACCTCAGTGTCGGCAGTGCATCCTTCTACCTGCTGGATTCACGTTTTGGGCTTTCCGCTTCAGTTGGACCACTCCTCTGCCGATGAACAACCCGGACTCAACACGAGGATGCTTTCCTTTCTCGGTTTTGATTTCACCTGAACTACCTTAAATCATGAACACCTGACTGAGGGAACGGGGGAGTTTGTGTCTGTGTAGGTTTATCAATCAAAACACTTTTCATTCATGGGGAGAACTTTGTGAAGACGCTCTGATTCGTCCGGCAGCAGCAGCAGTCGAGTAGTTTGAGCTCAGGTAGACGCAGAAGAGCAGCGCTTTTCGTCAAGACGGTCTACCCTCAACGCCTGAAGCTGTCAGGACTCTCAAGGGAAAATGTTTTTTGTTTGTGTGTGTTTTGAAGTGTGTGTGTGTGTGTGTGTGTGTGTGTGTGTGTGTGGTAACTTATTTTACACCAACCTGCATCATGAAGGGTTCAACATCACCAGGTAACCAAAAACACCATAACATCTGGCTAACAGGTCCCAGTGCTCCTCAGACTGGTCGTCAGGCGTCTGTTCAGTTTGACTCAATGTTTTCCTTCAGTTTGGTACGAAATGTTTGAGTTTGGAAAGAACATGAATCACTGTCACTGCTGCAGTTCAAGCCTGAACGCTCACTAAGATCTGTTTCTCCATCACAGAGAGAGGTGCAGTTTGTCTTAGCCTAGCTTAGCACAAAGACTGGGAGAGACTGTTAGCTCCATCAAAAGAGAAAAGAAATCACTTTCCCACCATGTTGTCTCTTCTTGTTAGCATCTGTGTCTCTAAAGCTATCAGTTAGCATAGTTTGATATTAAGATCCAAATATTAGCTTCTTAGCCCAGTTAGCTTAGAGTTAGCTTCTTCACCACTAGCTCTAGCCAATGGATGGATCGGTGACTAGCTTGCAAGCTAACACGACTGCTCACAAGAGCAAAGAAAATCTGCTCAAATCTGTTTTTGACCCACAAATTTGTGCCGTTAACCAACAGCCACTGATACAGCTGACCTTCGACCTTTGAGTCCAGAATGGTAGAAGCTATCGTAGCTTATTAGCTGTATGTCAGATACAGCTCTGTTGGAGTGTAACCTGCTCCTCGAGACTTTGTTAGCTCAGAGTTTTTACCCTCTTCAGTAAATCTTTATTAAATGAAATTCAGAGAACAAAATGTCTCTGAGTAGTGCTTGTGATTTGTTGGAAGATTTTTCTCTTTTGAAGGTGCTAGGCTAACAGTTTCCCGTCTTTGTGCTAAGCTAGGCTAAACATGTCCTGGACCGCTCTCTGCTGGACACACAGAGCAGAACAATGATTTCTCTTCATCCTGTGATGTGTCTGAACTGAAATTGTCATGTTAAAGGTTTCGGCTGCAGCTCTGATGCAGCATATTTTCAAACATCACTTTCTCATGATCCTTTGTGGTGTCTAATGATGCGTGTCAGCCTGCTTTGTCATGTTTAGCCTGTTAATTCTTCGCCACGTTCACTTCATTCTGCTGATCTTAGTTCTGAGTGTGAGGATGTTTAAAAGCTCATACTTGCTTTTAACTACACAGTCATGTATACGTGGTGGTTACCCAGGTCAACCTTTGTTCTTCAGAGCGTTGTGAGCTCAGAAATTAACCTGTTAATTAGTCACTGTTGCTATGACAGTCAGTCTTTCTAGTTTACAGCGGTAATAACCGTCGACTTTCTGAAACACTGATCTTTGATTTCAGACAGAAGCAGCTTCTTGTTTCTATTTGGCAAACATCAGTTTTATCGGCTGAAATTACAACTGTCACTGGAACATTTTGTTAGCTTCAGCTAGCTAGCTAATTACGCTAACGTTAGCTCCATGAGTTGGTTGAAACCTGTTTTTGAAAAGACCTATTTGAGGTCTTGAATGCACCTGATGGCTACATACATGATTTGATGCTAACAAACTGAGGCTAAGGATATGTTGCTAGCAGACTGAGGCTAAAGCTAACAGGTCCCAAGCAAAATGTCACCGTGTTTCACCTTTTAACAAAAGGATGAAAATTAATGATGTGTTTAGCTAACGTAGCTTTATCTTGGCTAACGTTAGCTGGAGTCAGGACAGAGTCGCTAACGTTAGCCTAAACTCTGAGAAAGTCCAAGACCGACTCCTTCGCAGTAGACGTTTCAGTCCCGAACGTAACCTTAAACCCCACAAACGAGTTAGCCTGCAGCCGCTCGTCTACATGTCTGTGTAGTTACAAAGCAAAGTATGATGGGGGGGGGGGGGCACAGCCTTGTTGGCAGCTGCCATTATCGGTTGCCAAGGCAACAGAAAAAGAGTTGGCAGCAGCATCATCAGGAAATGAGGGAACACGTCTAAAGAAAACTTTTCAGTGCAGCGACGAAATAGTCTCAGGTGTTTGTTTTCCTAAAATAATGTTTACATCAGTTTTTGTTGCTTGTTTTCATTTTTCTCATGTTGTTCGGCAGAGTGTGTGTGTGTGTGTGTGTGTGTGTGTGTGTGTGTGTGGACACAGAGCTGGACTATGAAAGCTGTAGCCACAGGTCGTCGGCTTCAGTCGGTGGCTACACGCCGGAGAACCTGCAGCATCTGTGTCCAGATGTTTCTTCACTTCCAGCGCGGCGTCTGCTTCAGGCGCTTCGGCCGCGATTGTATGCACATGAAGAAGAGTGAAGGAAGCTCCAGAGGATCTGAGACTGGAGGCTCCACTCAGCAGCTCTCCTCCCACAGGTGTTCGGGTTCCAAACTGTTTCTGATTAGATCTTTGAATTCATTTAAATTCAGGAAGTTAATGTGAAAAGAAGAATGTGACCTGAAGAGTGTGAAACGACTCAAACTGAAAACTAAAGATCCATGAATTAAATCTTTAAATTAAAATGAATCTAATGATTTCATCCATCAAAGTATAAAATGTTTCCTTTGTCCCAGACGTTTCTCTCTCAGCTTTACACACAATCTGTTTTCTGACAATCAGAAGTCACCTCAAGATCCATCAGGAGCCTTTGATCAAGCGTCATGATCTTCATCAGCAGATTGGACTTCACACTCCATTTTGGCTTCAAAGATTCAGATCATTATTGGCCTAAAAAACGGTAGTTTTTCATATGTTGATGAAGATCACATGACATGACTGAAAGCTCCTGAGCAGTGACGTTATCAAAAATTTTCATTACCCAGAATCCTTTGAAATCGAGCTTTGATTCTCAGAAATACAGAGGCGTCGGAAACAGTTTGTCACATTGTCCCAAATTCTGATTGGACGACGAGATCTCGTCCACCAATCGGACGCCTGGAGGCTGAGAGGGTCAGAACGTCATGTGTCGGGTTCTGAGGAGCTGAACTTAGGGTTGAGAGCTGCTGTGTTCACTGACGTCTCCAGGCTGTCGGAACTGAGGACGCTGGTGGAAAAAGAAGAGTGTGTGATATTTTTGTAACCTGCTGACTGAAGTATTTGATACTGAACACGTATTAAAGAAACGTTGATAGCTGTGACGACGCTGTTGTAACATGTAACTAAAGGTTTTTAATAATCAGCCGCTGCTTTTTGCTTTTCGTAGTTTTTTAAATTGTTGCTGAAGTTATCGTGAAAAGAAGAATGTGAACTGAAGAGTGTGAAACGACTCGGACTGAAAACGTGTGTATAAAGTAAAATGTGTGTAAATAGCCATCGAACTGCACTGTCGTCCTCGGAGACGAACGTGACTCAGCATCTCATGTCACTGACTCCTAGCTAACAGTCGACTCCATTCAGGCTTTTAATTTATTGCTGTGACACTATTTATTTTTACTTTGCTTTCCAGGTTGTATGTACAGTGAAACATTTGTCCTATTTATGTTACTTGATCAATAAAATTGGCTTTCATCCGTTCAGTTTCTCCTTCTGTGTCTGGATCAACATGAAACATCTGGCCCAACATCTGTCTGGGTCCTCGGCCCGAGTCTGGCCCGTGTTCTTCCACATCTGGGCAGATTCTGGCTGTTATTCTCTGGTGTTGACTGACAGCCAGGCCAGATGTTGAAGCGGCACCTGACGCTCAGGCTGTATATGGGCCAGACTCGGGCCGTGGAACCGGGCCTGTACTGGGCCAGAAGAAAACAAACGTGAGGAAAAACGTTCAAATAATGATCAATAATCACTGAAAATATTATTATTGAGCAGTTCAACATGAAAACACAAATACAGCAGAAATATGACTCAGTTCATTTACATGTAAAGTGAATTTATTATTTTTTGAGCCTCTTTCACTGAAACTTGATGTAAAATCTTTCTTTGTATTAATTAGATAGAAATGCGAGTGAACGCTTCACATCTGCTCTGTGTGTGTTCCGACTCCGGAGGGTTAATAATAATAATATGATAATAACACTTATGTTATTACATCTTGTGTTCAGTCAAACTCTCTGTTGCAGGTCGAAGTCACAAAGTTCAAAGTTCATCACTCTTCGGTTTTCAGTCTCGGTTGGTTTAGTGACATCTGTGGTTTCCATGGCAACAGCAGGTAGCTGAGCAGCTGTCAGAGTTCATTAGTCGGAGCGGAGCGACGTCACACCGGCGTCTCCTCCTTCACCTCCTGCACAGACAACAACAATTCAACACTTTAAACACTGACCTTTAAAATCTCGCCCAAAATAAAAGTCTGAAGAATTGTTGCTGTTGTTTATGAACGGATCATTCTTTATTTTTTAGACCAATACACAGGTTCAGCACGTGTGTGTATTTGTTTTATTATTTTACTTGAACTGATTATTCTCGTTGTTTTTGTTAAAACAGCTGATTCTGATCTGAGCTACACAAATTAACTTTATTTTATTTTCACAGGAGCAACATCTGATGACTTTTACTTTGACAGGGCCAGGCTTCCTCTTCCTGTGATGTCAGTGTTTGAAGAATTAAAATCTTAAAAAAAAAGATTTTTGGTGGTTTTACCTGGAGCGGAGCCTCCACCTGCTGCTGCAGCCGCATCACTTCCTGTTGAGCCTGAAACAACAACAACAACAACAACAACAACAGATGAGAGTCTGAGACGCTGCCACTCGTCACCGCCGTCTGTGATCATGTGACTCTGACCTGCTGCAGCTCTCTGTCCAGCTGCTGCCGCTGCTGCTGCTCCGACTGCAACCTGACGGACATGTGCTGCAACTGAGCCTGCACCTGACACACACACACACACACACACAGAGACACACACAGAGACACACAGAGACACACAGAGACACACAGAGACACACAGAGACACACAGAGACACACAGAGACACACAGAGACACACAGAGACACACAGAGACACACAGAGACACACAGAGACACACAGAGACACACAGAGACACACAGAGACACACAGAGACACACAGAGACACACAGAGACACACAGAGACACACAGAGACACACAGAGACACACAGAGACACACAGAGACACACAGAGACACACAGAGACACACAGAGACACACAGAGACACACAGAGACACACAGAGACACACAGAGACACACAGAGACACACAGAGACACACAGAGACACACAGAGACACACAGAGACACACAGAGACACACAGAGACACACAGAGACACACAGAGACACACAGAGACACACAGAGACACACAGAGACACACAGAGACACACAGAGACACACAGAGACACACAGAGACACACAGAGACACACACACACACACACACACACTCATGTGGAACAGAACTTCATGATTGATTTCTTGGATTCAGACGTGATGAATGATGGTGTGTTCAGACCTGAGCGAGCTCCTCACTGCAGCTCTGACTGAAGCTCGCCTCCTCCAGCTGTTTCTCCAGCTGTGCCTCCAACAACATCAGCTGCTCCTTCAGCTGACGCAGCAAACACCAAAATTCAAATTAAATTAAAATGAACATGAACATTGATAAACATTCAGACTGAAGCTCGCACACAGACTCTGAGTGACGGACCTGCTGAGTGTTTCCTGTCTCCGTCCTCGTCTCCTGAACTTCGACCTCCAGCAGCTTCAGCTGATCCAGGACCTGCAGACAGCAGCACAGTCTGAAGCTGCAGCTTCACTGATTTACATCAAATAAACAAAGAAGACACTGAGACTTAAATCTCCATCGTTACCTGAAACTCGTAAAGTATCATCAGAGATTTAAAAACAACTGATGTTATTAATTATTGTTTATTTACACGTGTATCTAAGTTGTCTGAACTAAATGAAACTGTTGATGTTGATGAACGAGCCTCACTGTTTGTTTCTGCTGCTCAGCCTCTGACACTTTATTCCTCCAGATGTTTTCTTCGTCTTCAGCACGTCGCTGCGCCAACTGAAGCTCCGCCTCCTGTCAGACAAACAACAAAACAAACTCAGAGGCTGACATGTAAATCTTCACGTCCGTCTGTAACCAGGTGATTTACAGGTTCATTATTCTACGGTTGTTTTCTCACCGTGTCCTGCAGCAGCTTCCTGCTCTGATCAAACTGAACCTGCAGCTCCATCCGTCCCTGCTCAGCCTCGTCCAGCCTCAGCTGCAGCTGATCACACAACAACACCATCAACAACATCAACAACAACAACAAAGTCAACAACAACAGCATCAACAACAACAACATCATCAATGTCAACAATAAGATAAACATCAATATAAACACCAATAACATAAACATCAATAACAACATCATCAACAACAACAATATAAACAACATAAACAAAAACAACAAAATATATTAAAGACAAAACGTATTCTTTCAGCAGGCGGAGCTGTGTGTTCGTAAGGGTTCATTATGTGTTTACGTGTTTTTACCTCAGAGTGAGACCTCTCTGCTTCACTGCTCCTCTCCTGAACCTTCTGAGTGAAACGTTCCAGCCAGTTTGTCTGCAGAGAAAAAACACTGTTAACACCCTGCTGCTGTCTGCCCCCCCCCCCAACAACAACAACAACAACAACAACAACAACAGTAATATTAATAATAATGAGCAACCTGTTCCGCCTCCACAGAGACGCCAGGAAACAGAACCTGCAGTGACGCCTGGAAGTCTGAACACAGGGACCCGAACCTGGACTCAGCTTCAGTCTGAACACACACACACACACACACACACACACACACACAGGTTTCTTCTTTGATCTGAAGCTCTGACTGATTTTCAGGTCGTTGTTTATTTATTTATTTATGTATTTAACTTCTCTGACCAGCGCCACTTTAAGCTCCACCTCTCTCTGCTCCATCAGTCGCTCTGCGGTCGACAACGCCTCCGCTGACGACGACACTTTCTCCTGCAGCTCCTGAACAGCACATGAGGTTTTCAAGAAGAAGAAGAAGAAAGAAAAAGAAGAAGAAGGAGAACCAGTGTGTTTGGACTCACGTTGCCATGGTTACGACTCTGTTGCAGCTCGTCTCTGAGCTGCTGAAGTTCTTCCTCCAGACGAAGAAGCTGAGAGTCTTCCTCCAGACTGAAGACAACAACAAACAACAAATAAACATAACGCCAACTAACAACAACTTGATGAAGTCTGTGTGTGTGTGTGTGTGTGTGTGTGTGTGTACACCTTTCAAACGGTTGTTCAGACTCTGTCTCACTTCCTGATCCCTGCAGAGGAGAAGAAGAAGAAACAGGAAACGTTCAGGATCTGGTTCATCCTCATCGACCACGATTCTTCTCCTTTGTTTTTCTATTTTTTATTGTATTTTATTTCTATGTTACATGATGGCAACATGGAAGTATATAAATTATAATGAATAATCATAAAAAATAATTAAATAATAAATAATTCGAATAAAATGTATTTGCTGTGGTTTGTACGGTGGCCCTGAGAGCTCAAACGCCGCAGGTAGCACAGATGACAACAGGAAGTGTTTCCAGGGGACACTAAACAGTGACACACTTGTTCAATGTTTTTAACTTCAGCAGTCACAAATCATTGAAAAAGGCTGATTCATCACTTTTTAGTGTCCCCTGGAAACACTTCCTGTTGTTGTTGTCAGACTGATGAAGATGTTTTGTGTTTGCGTTTTGTTCAGCTGCAGCGTGTTGACCTCTCTGAGCCACTGTAGATTTGTCTTAATGTGAGAATCAGCTGTTTTTGTTTGTGCCAGAAAAAAAAACAGAGAAAGGAGAAAATATTTGTTTGTTTATGCTGTTGGATCATTTTTCTTCTGATGTTGTTGTTGATGAAAGATGAAACTGAAGTCGACTGAACACTGACTGTATTAATGAATCTGTATTAACTGTATTGATCAATCATCTGAGGATCAATTTGAACCTGATGGAGATTATGTGATCAGAGTGTAGAAGATGATGTTTATTGGTTGAGAACCTGATCTCCAGCTGCTGCTTCAGACTCGTCCTCCTTCACTCTGAGGAGACAGAGACACAAAGAGTCAGTCTTTAATCCAAGATGGAGGAAGAGTTCAGCTGCTCTTCCTCCGATGTCTACCACGTGCTGCTGTGGGGACACTTTCACAATAAGAGCCCTGTTATGATCACCAATATGTTCTGTGCTTCTGACCTCTGTGACTGTGATGATGTCAGCAGCCGTAGCTCCTCCCTCAGCTGTGTGAGCTCCGCCTCCAGAGCGAGGACCTGCTCATCTCTGTTCTGCACACTGACAGGAAGTCACACAGGAAGTCAGTCTGTAGTACGTCACACCTCCACAACATCTACTCTCACTCATTGTTTCAGTCATGTGACAAAGGAAAGGTTCAGTACCAGGTGTTCAGCGGCTCCGCCTCCGACGAGATCTCCACCTGCACACACAGACAGGTCAGTGTCATGGAGACTCCGGTTCAACGTGAATTTACTTCATCAACCAGACAGCAGCATAAGAAGGAATATCAGTCACACAGATCACATGATGAGGGATAGGTGCTCAGGTTGTTACCTGGACTGCAGCCTGGTTCTCCAGCTGGGCCTTGAGCTCCTGCAGCTCAGCCTCTCTGGACGCCAGCGCCCCCTGCAGCTCTGAGGCACAAACAGCAGGAAAACACGTCACGTACTGAAAACAAACTGAGTCAGACACAGTGAACATGGACTAACATTAGCTTTAGCGTTAGTTAGCATTGTTGAAACCTAGCAGCTGAGTTAGCTAATAGAAACACTGACCGCTAACACCTGCTTCCTGCTGCGACGCGCTCAGCTGCAAACGCACTTCCTCCAGCTGCTGCTGCAGAGCGCGCTCAGTGTCTACGTGGACCAGCTGAGAGGCAGACGACACAGGTCACTTCCTGTTAACTTCCTGTTAATGTACACTTACTGAATACATTACGACAGTTTCTTATTACTGACCTCGGCAGCGGCCATCTTGGCCTCCAGGCTCTTCCTGTGCACCTCGTCCGCACGCAGGGTGTCGGTCCGCTCCGTCAACTCCCGACCCAGACGGACACAGTCCTGCCTGAGACGAGCCAGCTCCGCATTCTGCCTGCAGGGGGTGGTAGAGAGTCAGGTCACGTACCTCCACTAAAGTTCACGTCTTCAGATTATAACGTTTGTTTTCACGTTAAATATCTTGAACTTCTTTGTGACTGGCCGAGGTACTGATGAATGTTTGGTTTATTTACTCTCAGAAAACAGTTTTCTTTGGATATTGATGTGATTATGAAAGAAACTGACGACCAATTAAAGTCAGAGGTGGATCTTTGGAGAACACTAGTGATGATTACCTCAGTACAGTGCTGCCCTAACCTGAAGGTTACCTGCTCTCAGCCTGACTGGTGGCCTGGTTCAGGGCGTCTCGGAGGATGGAGTTCTCCTGCTGCAGTTGGGCCAGCTGAGCATTGGGGCCGTTCTCCAGCTGTTCCTGCAGACTCCCGATCTGTTCCAGTTTAACAGCCAGTTACCTAAACATGCTACAAACACTGCTTTACAGTTCCAACTAACAACTCCTTAGAACTTGAGACCTGAGACTTAAAGTCACTATTAAAACTATTAAAACAGGCTGGACAGACTTTAATTTAATCTAATTAATTTTCTCTTGAGGATCTGTGACTTGGCTGAGCTCCAAGGACTTAAACGTGCCCTCAAGAAGTCTAGATTTAACATTGACTTTCCCTAAAGGACTTGAGACTTGGCGTAGAGCTGCTCTCGAGGACACGAGGCCTTGGTGAAGCTGTGGATTGCTCTTGAAGATGTGACTTGATTTAGACTGACAGTCAAGAACTTAAGACTTGAATTGAGATTTACTTTGACAAGATTTCGAACCTGACCTATGGCTTGCCCTCAAGGACTAGAGACTTTACTAAGACTTGGCCTCGGGGACTTCAGACCTCCATTAAACTTCCCCACAAGGACTTTACGACACCAGACACATGACTTAGACTTGCCCTCAGGGACTTGAGCATTGGTTTGATGAGACAGGAGACTTGCATTAGATGTCTGAGAGAGTTGGCGTAGGACATGAGACTTGGGTGAAGCTGTGGATTGCTCTTGAAGATGTGACTTGACTTGGACCGGCTGTGAAGGACTTATGACTTGAATTGAAACTTGCTTTGACAACATTTCAGTAAACTTGCCCTCAAGAACTTTTACTAAGACTTGGCCTCAGGGAATTCAGACTTCCATTAAACTTCCCCAGAAGGAGTTGACTCAAGTCAAAAAGTTGAGATCTAACATTAACTTTCCCTCAAAGACTTGAGACTTGGTTTGACGAGACAGGAGACTTGTGTTCGACTTGCTCTCAAGGACTTGCGGCCCGATTTAGATTTGACCTTCAGACCAACTTTGAAGGACTTTAGACTTAAATTGACACTTAGACAAGATTTCAGACTTGGACCTCCCCTGGTGGACTTGCCCTTGGGGACTTGATACTTGACTTAGACTTGCCCGTGAAACTTGATGCTTGGATTGATTTGCCGCTAACTAACTAAAAGATAGTTAAACCATACCTTCTTATTGAGCTGCTGGGTGTGTTTCAGGTGTTCCTGGTCAACAGTCTTCATCCTGGTCTTCATGGCCTCGACCTCCTGGACCCGAGCACTCAGCTGCGACTTCAGATGGGCCTCCATCTTGGATTTCTCTGCACCAAGTTCCTGAAGACAGAAACAAGGAAGTTCAACTTGGAAAACTGAAGCTGACATATTGTTCTACATAATTACTGATTCCACTGGATTCATTGGTACCACAGTAAAAAGGTGGGGGTTACTGCAGCTGTCTATTTGTCCCATGTCTTGTTTCAGATACTTTCCACCTCAGTGGCCTCTTTCCACTGACTTGTCGTCGTATCTTCGCCTTCAGAGGAACAACATATCTCAAGGTGTCCTGGTACCGTTCCTTGTTGGGTGTCATTGTTGTCCACTGGACCCACCGCCAGAACTGAAGGAATAAATCTCACAGAGATCACATTGTTGATGAGCTGGGCGCTGCCTGGATCACCTTGCTGATCTCTCTGAGGCGGCTCTTGGCGGTGGCGGCGACCTCCTGCTCTGCGGTCAACAGCTTCTCCTTCTCCTCCAGCTGTTTCTTCAGAGTGGACAGTGGGTCTCCTTTCTGACAGGCCTGGGAGTCAAACAGAGACCCAACTTTACCCTTTGATGATATTTACTTTCCAGTGTGAAAATCTTCGCTTTAAGCTAAAATTATGTGGTGTGCTGTTTATCTACTGTTTGTGTACTAACTCTACATGTTAGCTGACGTTAGCTGGACGCTGTTGTGACAGTGTTTATCTACCAGCTGCCAGGAGTCGTGGCGGACCCCAGCCTTCTGGTTCAGGACCTCCATGAGTTTGTGCGTCTGGTCGTCGCTGAGCATCATATTGGACACGGCAGACAGCAGCTTGTCGTACGGCAGCAGTCGGGAGATGGCAGCAGGTTCGGTGACGGACACTTAATGAAAAAACAGGATGACAATAATCTAATTAAACTTTATTTTACAGTAGAGTATGGTGCGTCTTCCTGTTGAAAGTAGGGTTGTCACAATACTAGAATTTCAAACTCGATACGGATACCCAGGAAAATACTTGATACAATTTTTCCCCACGGGGAGAAAAAATGACAAAAAATTAAGATGCATAAAATTTTTGAAATAAAGATTAGAACAATACAAACAATAACATCAATGACAACACTACTTTTAGGTTGTCTGAGGTAGTGCAAAAACAAAACAACAGTAACCTTACTGTGAGGTGTGTATATATTTATGAAATGTATTCAGCTACAGCCCTGTTTATTGTCTGTGCTTCTGGTGACTTGGCACCATGTTTTCGTTGCTGATCAAACAGAGTTGGGAGGAGAGGCTGCCGCTGTTTCTGTCGAGTTGCTGGTCGACTTTTCTCAGCTTCAGTCTGGGACTTTAAGAGAAATATAACACTTTGCAGACACAAATAATTGTGTTATCCTGTTAAATTAACTAGTAACGTTACAGACGGGCAGGACTGTTTGCTGCCTAGCTTTCACATTAACGTGAGTCATTTTATTATTAGCCACAGCTGCTAGCCGCTAGCTTAATGATAACTTAACAGACGGTGAATGTTTGACAACCCTAGCTTAACGTGAGAAACTCACCTGACTCAGGTTTGTTCTTGGACTTCTTCTTCTTACTTGAGGTCTCTTTGGGTTCCTCAGTTTTGGCAGCAGACGTTTCTTTGGTGACCTCAGCGACAACGTTCGCCGGAGGAACATCAACCACCGGGGCCACGGCCAAGATCAGAACTTCCTTAGCAACGGTTTCCACCACAGTAGCTGGCTCCGTCCGGGCCGACTTCTTCTTCTTCTTGTCCTTTGGTGAGGGGGCTGGTGGAGACTCCACAGAGGTCATCACAGCGGGTTCTGGTTCAGGTGTTGGTTTGGGTTCAGGCACAGCATCAGGTTCTGCAGCAGGTTCTGGGTCTGATTCTGGTTCTGTGCAGGTCACCACCACAGGGTCCTCGCTGCCGTCACTGCCTGGTTCTGAGAGCTTTCCATCGGGTCGGTCCTCCTTCTTCTTGGCTTTGCTTTTCTTCTCCAGCGTCTTGTCCTTCTTCTTCTTCTCTGATCTCTGGGTCTGGACCTGGACGAGCTTGCGCCGCTGTTTGGCCAGCGCCTCCTCGTACGACGTCTCCTTCATGGACAGGGTGGAGACGAGGGCGATGCCCACCGCCGAGATGAGCATGAAGCCTCCAAAGACCAGGAAGCCGAGAGTCTGCGGGTCGGAGACGTCCATGACTGACCAGAGTGCCCCACAGGAAGTCTGGGGGTTTGGAGGAAGGACATTTAGTGTTTCACAGTTTTCGTGTCAATAAAGATTCCTGTCTCTGAGGAGCTGTTATAGCAGGTTTAGACACTTCTGAATGGGGGGGTCGGACTCAGGTGCAGTTTAGGAGGAGGGGGAACATTTGACTTTAACACCATCTTTACTTTATCTCAACCAAGTAGTTTTATTTGAGTAAACTTAACCAAACACTTTAGACTTGATTGACTCTTCTAGCGCCACCCTGAGGACAAACTTTACCTGCTCAGACTCAGAGCAGGTGAATCATCAGGAAGCTGTTTGTTCAGTGAGTGGCTGTAATGACCTCTGCCGCCTGTAGGAGGCGCTGACCGAGCTGCTGAATGTCTTCACAAGAGACTGTGGAATGTTTTTCATGGTGCAGAGCAACAAAGAGCCTGGGTTAAAGGTTGAAGTACTTTTACTGTGATACTGTTACTACATTAAGTACTTTTAATGTAAGACTTAAAATACACTAAGTACTTTTACTGTGATACATGAAGTACTTTTACTGTGATACTTTAACTATAGGGGTTAGGGTTAGGATTACTTTTATTGTGATATTGTAACTACATTAAGTACTTTTACTGTGGTACTTGAAGTAATTGTATTATGATACTGTAACTACATGTAGTACTTTAACTGTGACACTTTAACTACATAAAGTACTTAGTTGTACTAATGTAATACCTTGAATACATGAAGTACTTTTACTGTGGTACTTGAAGTAGTTTTATTGTGATATTGTAACTACATGAAGTACTTTTACTGTATTGTAACATGTTGCTTTTACTTCAGTGTTTCAATGTTTGAGGAGCAGAAAGGCGACGTGTCTGAGTCCACAATTAACCCTTTGTACTGTCAACACACACACACACATACACACACACACATACACACACTGACTCACTCACACATACACACACACACACACGCGCACACACACACACACACACACACACACACACACACACACACACACACATCGTAACAGTTTATATAACTCAGGTCAGTTTCTTCTCTGACCACCGAAGATACAGAATTTCACAATAAAATTCACTTTAAATCAAAAGTCCATTAATCCCTTTTACAAGCAGGTGACGTCATCTCTGACACTTTTACACTAATTTTTCAACAGTTTATGCTCATTCATATCAATCAAACAGCTGTAACAGACGGAGCTGTTTCCCTCTGATGAATCTGCTCCATGTTTCGATGTCAACACGGAATTTAAAACAGGATCAAAACAATAATTTTGATATTAAATCAATATTGCTGTCGGTCTGAGTCTTTTTTCTCTCCCGTTTCTGACTTTGTAATCCACTATTTTTCCAAACCCGCTCCTTCCCCTCGTCCCTCTGACCGGAACTGTTCAGTTTGAGTCTGTAGTTTGATTCCGAGGCAGCAGCAGTGAAATAAAAGCTCTTTACCTGAGAGTTGCGGTGCTCACCTCAGCGCGGTCAGTCAGGCTGCAGAGTCGTGGCACTTTCTCTGAACGGGACTACAAGCCCCGCCCCCCGCCGGCGGCGCGGCTCCTCGTTGGTCAGCGGGGACGTCACTCACAGACATTTGACCCACACGGATGAGCGGAGGCGGGAGGACAGCGCGAGCTCGCCCCATGGTCCCATGGGAGATGTAGTTCACTGATTTAAAACCACAGACTGAACTAATCATTGATTGTACTTATTTTAAGAATAAAAAAATAGTACTCTATTAAAGACTCAGTGTGAGCAGTTAGTCTAACTAACTGCGTTTTCAATAAAGTTAGGGCGGAAGGTTTTATTAAAAAGTTATTTCATGTTTAATATTTTAATTGAGGACCTTCAGGTGTTCACATTCTTCTTCATCATCATCATCAGGAACCGGAGTCATAAAGACTTTCAGAGACCAGAAGAACCAGGAGTCCTTGTCTCCACAGAGACCTGATCCCAGCGTCATGGAGTCAGTCTGGATCACATGAAGAGACGGAGACACTGAGGCAGGTAGTCCAAGACGCTGAAACATCCTGCCTGACAAGAACCCGAAGAACCGTGAGCAGGTGTACTAGGAGAACTGGAGCTGTTTTAAACGTAAAGGGGGGGGCACAGTAAGTACTGGTCTGAGTCTCACATATATAGATTTTTCTGTTGAAGAATCTGAAAACTCACTAAATATAATGTCAGTCGCTTTGTCAACTGGAAAGATAAAGTTCCTGTGTACCAGCCAAGGCAGGAGTAGCAGGTACATCCAATCACTCACACCGCTGTAACCAATCCGCCTTTAGGCTGAAGAAGGACCGCCTACCCAATTAGCATAGGGACACAGAGATAAATAAAGGTAGAAATTAATGCATTAATAAATTAATAATGATAATAATGATAATAATAATAATAATAATAATAATAATAATAAATAAATGCATACATAAATGAATGAATAAATAAATACATTTAGAGATACAGAAATAATTAAATAAATAAATGTAGAAATGCATAATACATGTAAAAGAAATAACGTTTTTATTACCAAACTGTTTTTATTTTGCATTTAGTTATGTATTTAATTATTTATTTGAGAATTTATTAATACTTATGTAATTTTTTGTCCTTCATACAGAACAACAGTTTTAAATGAGGCTGCTTCCATCACGGTGTGTTCAGGTGCCGGTCGGAGGGGGGCGCTGCTCAGCTCTTCACGTCTCAGACAAGCGCCTGAGTCCCGCTGAAGAAGCAGCAGCAGCAGCAGCAGCAGAGCCGGTTAGCAGGTGGCTAACGTGAAGCTACAGCTAACGTGATGTCTACAGCCTCTAAGGTGGTCCTCGGGCTCTCTGTGGTTCTGACTGTAGGCACCGTGGCTGGCGTTCACCTCAAACAGACCTGGGACCGACAGGTACACCGGGAGGAACCGGGCCAGAGCTAAAGCTAACAGTTAGCAGGGGACAGCGGGGTTAGCGGAGCGGGAGGTCACAGGAAGTTAACGGACTATCTGATCGTTTAAAGCTAAAATCTGACGGTGTTCGGTGTTTAACGGAGAAGCTGCAGCCTCGTAACGTTTACCGTGCTGAGCTCAGTCCGATAACGTTAGCTGCTCAAACTGAAAACACCGAAAACGGTCCTCAGTCAGGCTAAACGGCGGGTTAATCACATCCGGTAAGACTTCAAAATAAAGTCTTTGACAGTAGTTTTCTTCATGAATCTAATCGAAGCACAGCTGTTTACCTTGTTTTCAGGTGATTCCACAAACTAATTACTCCACACACAGACTGTAAAAGAACCTATACATTAATTTCATAATCAGGAGCTCTATTGTTTTAATTCTTATTATTCGTTCTTTCTCATTTTTCTCTGTTAAAAGTCTTCATGCAGCAAAGAACATAAGAGCAAATCACGACTCCAACACTGACACAGACCTGCCTGAAGGTGGTGCTGTAATAATGACGTTTACCTTTTCTTGAGAGCGGCTTCCATCATGTTCATCTTCCAAGTCTTTACTCAGATGGTCTTCTAATAAAAGTGTCAAATCTTCCATCATTTTCAGAAATGATAAAGTGAAACAAAAGAAACGGAGGCCGTGGGTCTGTTTTGAAATTAAACATTTTTAAACGTCTGTCTTTGAATTCAATTTTACAAAAATGCTCATGAATCAAAACAGGCTTCAGTGATTGTGAGCATCCATTCACAAGCTTGGTGCTAGCTCCACTGTGCAGTCTTGGGATGTTCTGCCTCTAGGGGGCGACACAAAGGCGAAAAATTTACTTTTTTCTTTGCTAAGTGTTTGTGAACAGAAATCCATCTGACCTAGAAACATGAAAACTGGCAAGTGGGCTGTAAATTCCACAAACTACTCAGGCACATGTAATGACCCTCAATGACCTCAAGGTGACGCCTAAAGCTGTTTCCTGTCTGAACTGATGACCTCTGCTGCAGCTCTACTGCAACATGTCCATGACCTTGTTATAAAACTAAGCCCTGTCAGCCACAAGTGTCACTTTATTTTGAAGGAGAGGGCAGTGTTTCCTGCTTCATGTTGACTTGACTGAGTCCATGTTCATGTGAAGTAATCAGAAAACTTGTGCTGTGTTTTAGTCTGGTGCGTTGGTGGCTCACCTGTTTACTCTGGTCCAGGAGGGGGCGGGGCGTTTACTCTAGGTCTGTGATTGGATGTTTACTCGTGTGTCTCGTGGTCAGCGTCTCCACGAGGGAGTGGTCCGGGATCTGGAGCGGTGGGAGAAGAAGAAGGAGAACCTGAGGAGGTTGGAGGAGCAGAAGATTCTGACCCGACACCTGAAGGAGGAGAGACAACGCAGAGAGGCGGAGCTCCATCCGCAGGACCACCACTGACACAGGTACATACCCACACACCTGCTCACCTGTGGTGTGGTCCTGTGACGTCCCTGACCGTCCCTGTGTTCACCTGTCCAGGTGTGAGGCCCAGTGATGGACAGTAGCAGCGAGCAGCTGGGCGGGGCCGAGGACGAGGCGGCGTGCACGTCAGCCTCCGAGGGTCTGGAGGAGGGGGAGGTAGAGGGGGAGACGCTGCTGATCGTGGAGTCGGAGGATCAGGGGTCAGTGGATCTGTCACATGACCAGAGCGGAGACTCTCTGACCAGCGACGTGGGCGAGGAGGCCGACGGGGGCTGGGCATGCGAGGACATGTCCTTCTACTGCGACCGCTGCCACAGGTGGATACCTGCAGGTGAGAGTGTGTAATCACAGTCAGACTTTACCAACACTTACAACAAACAAACAAACAACAAAACATAAACAATATTCAGTTATAGAACTTACCTGCAGGTGTCAGCGTTTCATTCATGGTTCACACGATGTTGCTTATAATTAACAACTCCGCCTCTTTCACATGAACACACTCGTACCTGGACAGGTAAACCAGAGTCAACTGAGCCAGGTGATCAGGTCAATGTTAGGTTCAGTCAAGCCAGATAACAGAAAGTTATCCTGGGTGCGTTGAATTTGATTCGTAGTTCAGGCCTCAGGTGTGTACAGGTGTGTACAGGTGTGTACAGGTGTGTACAGGTGAGCAGGGCCTCAGTGTCAGTGTCTCTGTTTGTCTTCAGCTCAGCTCCGTGGTGAACAGCCCAGCTACCTGAAGGGAGACAACTTCTTCAAATTCATCTGCTCCGACTGTTCAGAGGACGGAAAGGAGAGCTTCGAGAGGATGAGACTCACCTGGCAGCAGGTACACAGCATCTGTCCACATCTGTTTCCCTCTGTCTACATCTGTTCCCCGCTGTCTACATCTGTCCACATCTGTTCCCCTCCGTCCACCTCTGTCCACATCTGGTCCCCTCAGTCCACCTCTGGCTACTTCTGTCCACATCTGTTCCCCTCCGTCCACCTCTGTCCACATCTGGTCCCCTCAGTCCACCTCTGGCTACTTCTGTCCACATCTGTTCCCCTCCGTCCACCTCTGTCCACATCTGGTCCCCTCAGTCCACCTCTGGCTACTTCTGTCCACATCTGTTCCCCTCCGTCCACCTCTGTCCACATCTGGTCCCCTCAGTCCACCTCTGGCTACTTCTGTCCACATCTGTTCCCCTCCGTCCACCTCTGTCCACATCTGGTCCCCTCAGTCCACCTCTGGCTACTTCTGTCCACATCTGTTCCCCTCCGTCCACCTCTGTCCACATCTGGTCCCCTCAGTCCACCTCTGGCTACTTCTGTCCACATCTGTTCCCCTCCGTCCACCTCTGTCCACATCTGGTCCCCTCAGTCCACCTCTGGCTACTTCTGTCCACATCTGTTCCCCTCCGTCCACCTCTGTCCACATCTGGTCCCCTCAGTCCACCTCTGGCTACTTCTGTCCACATCTGTTCCCCTCCGTCCACCTCTGTCCACATCTGGTCCCCTCAGTCCACCTCTGGCTACTTCTGTCCACATCTGTTCCCCTCCGTCCACCTCTGTCCACATCTGGTCCCCTCAGTCCACCTCTGGCTACTTCTGTCCACATCTGTTCCCCTCCGTCCACCTCTGTCCACATCTGGTCCCCTCAGTCCACCTCTGGCTACTTCTGTCCACATCTGTTCCCCTCCGTCCACCTCTGTCCACATCTGGTCCCCTCAGTCCACCTCTGGCTACTTCTGTCCACATCTGTTCCCCTCCGTCCACCTCTGTCCACATCTGGTCCCCTCAGTCCACCTCTGGCTACTTCTGTCCACATCTGTTCCCCTCCGTCCACCTCTGTCCACATCTGGTCCCCTCAGTCCACCTCTGGCTACTTCTGTCCACATCTGTTCCCCTCCGTCCACCTCTGTCCACATCTGGTCCCCTCAGTCCACCTCTGGCTACTTCTGTCCACATCTGTTCCCCTCCGTCCACCTCTGTCCACATCTGGTCCCCTCAGTCCACCTCTGGCTACTTCTGTCCACATCTGTTCCCCTCCGTCCACCTCTGTCCACATCTGGTCCCCTCAGTCCACCTCTGGCTACTTCTGTCCACATCTGTTCCCCTCCGTCCACCTCTGTCCACATCTGGTCCCCTCAGTCCACCTCTGGCTACTTCTGTCCACATCTGTTCCCCTCCGTCCACCTCTGTCCACATCTGGTCCCCTCAGTCCACCTCTGGCTACTTCTGTCCACATCTGTTCCCCTCCGTCCACCTCTGTCCACATCTGGTCCCCTCAGTCCACCTCTGGCTACTTCTGTCCACATCTGTTCCCCTCCGTCCACCTCTGTCCACATCTGGTCCCCTCAGTCCACCTCTGGCTACTTCTGTCCACATCTGTTCCCCTCCGTCCACCTCTGTCCACATCTGGTCCCCTCAGTCCACCTCTGGCTACTTCTGTCCACATCTGTTCCCCTCCGTCCACCTCTGTCCACATCTGGTCCCCTCAGTCCACCTCTGGCTACTTCTGTCCACATCTGTTCCCCTCCGTCCACCTCTGTCCACATCTGGTCCCCTCAGTCCACCTCTGGCTACTTCTGTCCACATCTGTTCCCCTCCGTCCACCTCTGTCCACATCTGGTCCCCTCAGTCCACCTCTGGCTACTTCTGTCCACATCTGTTCCCCTCCGTCCACCTCTGTCCACATCTGGTCCCCTCAGTCCACCTCTGGCTACTTCTGTCCACATCTGTTCCCCTCCGTCCACCTCTGTCCACATCTGGTCCCCTCAGTCCACCTCTGGCTACTTCTGTCCACATCTGTTCCCCTCCGTCCACCTCTGTCCACATCTGGTCCCCTCAGTCCACCTCTGGCTACTTCTGTCCACATCTGTTCCCCTCCGTCCACCTCTGTCCACATCTGGTCCCCTCAGTCCACCTCTGGCTACTTCTGTCCACATCTGTTCCCCTCCGTCCACCTCTGTCCACATCTGGTCCCCTCAGTCCACCTCTGGCTACTTCTGTCCACATCTGTTCCCCTCCGTCCACCTCTGTCCACATCTGGTCCCCTCAGTCCACCTCTGGCTACTTCTGTCCACATCTGTTCCCCTCCGTCCACCTCTGTCCACATCTGGTCCCCTCAGTCCACCTCTGGCTACTTCTGTCCACATCTGTTCCCCTCCGTCCACCTCTGTCCACATCTGTCCATATCTGTCGACCCTTACTCCCGCACTGTCACCTGTTTCTATATTTAAACATTCTAAATATATGAGAAATAAATATAATTATAAATATATTATAAACGATTATAGATATATTACTAATAATCATAAATACATGATAAATAATTATAAATAAACTATAAACGTATTATAAATGTCAGACTGTTGATCAGATTTATAGATTCCACACAGATGAAAGACTTTTTAAAAGCAGATGAATCATTGATGTAGAGAATCATCAGTGTCTCTGATTGGCTGTTCCTCCTCTGATCAGTCATGTGATCAGTTGGGGTGTCAATATGAGGAAGTGATAAATGTGTGATGTTTGGTTCTTATGCTTGTGTGTGTGTGTGTGTGTGTGTGTGTGTGTGTGTGTGTGTGTGTGTGTGTCAGGTTGTGATGTTGGCTATGTACAACTTGTCTCTGGAGGGAACCGGTCGTCAGGGTTACTTCAGGTGGAAGGAGGACATCTGTGCCTTTATTGGTCGACACTGGAACTTCCTGTTGGGAACCAGGTGAGTTTTAAACACACCTGTGTTGTTGTTGTTGACCTGGTGTTTCACTCTGCGAGTGTGTGACCTCATCGTTTCCTAAGGTCTCAGTTTCTGACGACAACACGACCCCAGAGATTTCAAAATAAAACTCTGGACTTTTATTAAACTCCGGAGGTGACGTGACCTCTGACCCTGTGACTGTGACTCTGCAGGAAGAAGACGTCGACCTGGTGGAGCACGGTGGCCGGCTGTCTGTCGGTCGGCAGTCCCACCTTCTTCCGCTCAGGTGCGCAGGAGTTCGGAGAACCCGGCTGGTGGAAGCTGGTCCAGAACAGACCTCCGACCCTGAGACCAGAGGTGGACAAGTCCACCACCAAGACGAAAGGTGAGGGTCTGTGTCTCTCAGGTCAAAGGTGTCATGTCACCGCAGCAGGCGAGTTAAACAGAGCTATGTGTTGCAGCCTCCAAACCCGCCATGGACCCGATCATCACCGTGGAGGGTCTGAGGAAGCGCGGCGCCAGAAACCCCGTGGAGAACGCCATGCAGCTGAAGGAGAAGCGCTCTCGCACACAGGAGGCTAAAGACATCCGGCGGGCGCAGAAGGAGGCGGTGGGCGGCTACACTGACCGCAGCGCCTCCTCCACGCCCGTCAAACTGGGCGGAGGTCGCAGCGGGACCGCCGGGCGCCGCCCTGACCTCGTCCTGGAGAAAGGTGAGGTCATTGATTTCTCCTCCCTCAGCTCTTCAGACCGTACGCCGCTCACCAGCCCGTCGCCGTCGCCTTCACCCGACTTCTCCGCCCCGGGCACGCCGGCGTCTCACTCAGCTACACCCAGCCTACTTTCAGAGGCGGACCTCATCCCTGACGCCATGCCGCCCCAGGCACTGTTCCACGGTGAGTCACAGTCTGACACGTCCAGCTGTTCTGTGTTTGAACATGATGTGACCTCTGCCCTCTGCCCCGCCTCCAGACGACGAGGAGATGGAGACAGAGGGGATGATCGACCCAGGGATGGAGTACATCCCTCCTCCCAGCGCCACCCTTGTTGCCCGTAAGAAGCTCCGCCCACTACCACCTCACATCAAGCGTGAAGCAGAGAGCGAGGACGACGAAGGACGCGAGCGAGAGGACGACTTCGAGGAGTCAGTGGGTCGGAGTGACGGTCCGTCTCTCTCTGCGGGGGGGTGTGTTGGCGCCGGAGGGCCCGAGCGTAGGAGGATAACTCACCCTGAGAAAGCCGACGGAGGCGTCTCCCACAGTCCTCGCCACGCCCCCCTCACTCTGTACGAGGAGAGGATGCTGCTGCGCCGGCTGGACGCCTGCCCACTCGCCTTAGCCGTCACGCCGCAGGCCAAACGCCTCCACAGGAAGCTGCTGGTCCGCCAGGCCAAAAGGCAAAGAGGGCTCCCCCTGCTGGACATCGACCGGGCCGTCAGCGCCACCCTCAGTCTGGTGGGAGGGATCTACGGTGCGCAGGAGGTGGGGGCACTGCTGGGAGGCGGAGTCATGGGGAAATACTGCACCAACAGCCAGGAGCTGCGTATTCTCGATCGATTCCAGGTACCTCAGATTACATCACACAGAGGGGGTGTGGCCTCATTCTCTGCTCAGGACGCCATTCCTCCTCCACTGTTTATCTTTACATAGAACAGCTGTTTGCCGCCGTATCGTTGTTTATAATTAGTGTCTGAAAGAAACTGCTCTTCTTCTTCTTCTTCCTCGTAAATGTTGTGGTTTTTATTCCTCCACGCCGCCGGCAGTCAGAGCGGCAGCCATTTTGTTTTCCACGTGTCCGTCTCATTCTCATGGACACGATATCTCATTAACACCCCGAGGGAAGTTCTACAAGTTTCACCTGGAGTCAACTTTGACCTGATTAGATTGTGGTGGTCAAAGGTCAAAGGTCACAGTGACCTTAGAAAACATTTTGTAGCCATTACTCAAGACTTGTGTCTGACTCTGGATAAACAGGGTGTACCTGTAGTAGTGTGAGCGGTGGAGGGATACGACCAGGAGGAGGCGACTATAGTCAGGTGTGTTGATCCTCTGACGTCTCTGTGAATGTGTGTGTGCAGACCAACCTCTCCGGCAGGAGGGGGCGCCACCTGAACTCCGTGTCCTTCTGGCATCGACTCATGGGAGCGGAAGGAAGTCTGGACCAGAGCATCAAGAGTCCGTACACGTCCCGCATCCTCAAACCCTTCATCAGGTACAACTGACGGGCTCAGGGCCCACCCACAAGTACTGTGGTATCAGTAGTACTACAGTAGTACCAGTAGTACCAGTAGTATTAGTAGTACTACAGTAGTACCAGTATGAGTTGTGTGCCTGTCCTTCAGGAGGGACTATGAGAGTCGCCCGGTGAAGCTGCGGTTGCTGGCAGAGATCAGGGCGTATCCTCACAGGGCGGAGCCTGACTGGGTCCCTGAGGCCGACGCCCCCATCGACTACTGCTATGTCCGCCCAAACCACATCCCCTCCGTCAACGCCATGTGTCACGACAGCTTCTGGCCAGGTAACACACACACTTCCTTCTACTCACCGTCAACCGTCCAACCACGAGTCAGTCCCTCCTAACCTGCCTCTGATTGCCCCCCCCCCCTCCAGGTGTGGACCTGTCCGAGTGTCTGCAGTACCCGGACTTCAGCGTGGTCGTCCTCTATAAGAAGGTGGTGGTTGGCTTCGGTTTCATGGTGCCGGACGTGAAGTACAATGAGGCGTACATCTCCTTCCTGCTGGTGCACCCTGAGTGGAGGAGAGCCGGCATCGGCACCTTCATGATCTACCACCTCATCCAGGTCAGAGGTCAACACAGGGGCCGACTCCTGAGGGGGGGGGACTGATCTGTGGTTGGTACTAGCTCCTGATTGGTCAGAATTAAAACAGAAGCAGCTGCAGCAGTGAGCGCACCTGTCGTGTTTGAATGTCTTTGATTGAGTCATTGAACTTGTTCTCAGTGTGTAGCTGTCCACTAATGATGATGTCACACTGCTACCTACTGGCCCTGTTTTTGGTAACTGCGTATTAGCGAACACAGCTAGCAACACAGAGGTTGGAGGTGACGTCATGAAGGAGCGTGGGATCATGGGAGTTGTAGTTTGGATTCCTTCAGTGTCAGTGGTTCAGGTGAGTCTGAGCGACGCTGTACGGAGGACAGAGACTCAGAGAAGAGCTGCAGCTGAGGTTGATGCTAACCTTTGTTCTGACTGTTTCTCTGATCGCTCATGAACCAGACGTTCAGCAGGTTTTTACCAGCAGCTGAACGATCCACAGAGGAGTCCTCCTCTCCACAACAAACACACCAGGAGTCCAATAACCTGTTGAGTTGACCTCAGGTAACCTTGGTTATCAGGTGAGACCAGGTGAGCTGCACAGGTTCAGTAAGGTGAGACCCTTGTCTCTGTGTCTTTCAGACGTGTATGGGGAAGGACGTGACGCTCCACGTGTCGGCCAGTAATCCCGCCATGCTGCTGTACCAGAAGTTTGGCTTCAAAGCCGAGGAGTACATCCTGGACTTCTACGATAAATACTATCCTGTTGACAGCGCCGAGTGCCGCCACGCCTTCTTCCTCCGGCTGAGGCGCTGAGACGACCACGCCGCACCTTCGCCTCATGTTTCAAATGAACAGAACGACCGGTCCAGGAGCGTGGGTCAGTGATGCTGCAGGAGACCGGGACCCGGCGGCTGCTGATGGTGATGATGATGTTTGAGGACCAGTAACTGTAAGAGACAGTAGAACATGAGCGCCTGATGATGTCATCAACTCTTCTTCTTCAGTTTCCGGTTGAACATCGTGTGAATGTTTGTGAGTTTATTAACCCTCTGAGGTCTGAGGAGAGTTTCTCCATTTCTACATAATTTCTTTGAAACTTTTCTTTGATGAAACATGATTGTGTTTATCTCAGCTCTTCTTCTTGTCGCAGAGCGAAGAGATCTTTGTTCCCAAATGCTGAAAACTTGAAGCCTGGTTTTTGAAATTCTTCAAACGAACCTTTTTTTACTGACGTGGACGAGTTTGTTGTGAGTTCACCAAAGTCTTAGGTTCATAAAAACAGAATCAAAGATGAATGGATAATAAATGCCGAATGTGAAAGTCTGTGATGTCACTGAGCTGTAGTTGTTGTCTGTCACTCGGACGTTTGAGGCTGTGAGTCACGTGACATCTGAGAGTGAAAGTAGAGTCGACAGATTCACGCCGTAGTTCTACTGTACCCCCCCCTCCCCCCACCTCCCCCCTCAGAGGGTTCAACTTCATGTTTTCTCTGTGTCATTCAGCAGTTTCTCCAAAGGGGGGGGGGCAGCGGCTGTTGGTGTGATGAACAGCCCCTCCTGCTGGTGAAGAGCTGCAGCTGCTTGTGTCTGATTTTAAGGTTTTACATGAAAAAGTGTCCATTAAAATAAAATACAACAGATAAAACTCTGAGCTGCTGATTATTCACATCATTAATACAATACTAAATTAATTTAGATTCTCACTGGTCAAACTGTCACACCTGAGAGGAGTCCTGTTTCCTCTGTGTGAACATGAGTCTGCCATTAAACCACAGAAGAAGAAGAGGTCATGAGGCCAGCACTGAGGATGGAGAACATGATGTGAGGAAGGTTCAGCCTCCTCCTCATCGCTCCACACAGCTGGTGATGTAGATGTGTGAAGATCAACAACTGATTCAGTTGTTTTTGTCACATGACGTCTGGAGTCATGTGACCAGTGAACTGTTGACAATGTTGATGAGATGTAGTTGAAACTACAGAATAAATAAAGATGGCTGTCGCCTCTGTGACGTCACCCACAGGTTTCTAAAGCTCAGAGTGAGCTGCTCCACTGTCGCCATCTTGGCAGTATCTGACTCTGCCCCTAACTCCCAGCTAATCCGAACATGGTCAAAGAGGAGGGGCCTGTGGAGCCGTTTTGTGACAAGCATACGCTCACCCACCTGTCACTCAGAGGCCACGCCCTCAATCCTCCATAACTTCAGTCCTTAATAAAATGTAAACAGGTGAGTTATATAAACAGGTGAGTTCTATAAACAGGTGTCATGAAGGAGGAAATTAGCTCTAGAGACCAAAACAGTTTTTGTACCAGGCTGTAAACATGTTTATTTCTGCTGTAAAGTTGGACATTTTAACATGGGAGTCTATGGGGACTGACTCACTGTTGGAGCCAGACTCTAGTGGCCATTAGAGGAACTGCAGCTGCTGGTTTCAGTCTGGAGGTTGAGGGTTTAAATCCTGTAAACTGACCTGAAGTTTATCATGTTTCACTCTCTGATTTCAAGGCGGATGGAAACAACAGAGCTCAGTGAACACACACTGCCTTTCATTTAGGAACAGATCAAACACTGACCCAGTGAAGACCAGCAACACACACTGACACCTGATGGTCTGAAGGTCTGAGGGTCTGATGGTTCAGGGTCTGAAGGTCTGATGGTTCAGGGTCTGATGGTCTGAAGGTCTGAAGGTCTGAGGGTTCAGGGTCTGATGGTTCAGGGTCTGAAGGTCTGAGGGTTCAGGGTCTGATGGTCTGAGGGTTCAGGGTCTGAAGGTCTGAGGGTTCAGGGTCTGATGGTCTGAAGGTCTGATGGTTCAGGGTCTGAAGGTCTGATGGTTCAGGGTCTGATGGTCTGAAGGTCTGAGGGTTCAGGGTCTGATGGTCTGAAGGTCTGATGGTTCAGGGTCTGAAGGTCTGGATGGTTTCAGGGTCCAATGTCGAGGTCGAAGGTCTGAGGGTTCAGGTTCTGATGGTGGCTGAAAAGGTCTGATGGTTCAGGGTCTGAAGGTCTGATGGTTCAGGGTCTGATGGTCTGAAGGTCTGAAGGTCTGAGGGTTCAGGGTCTGATGGTTCAGGGTCTGGTTCTCTGGATGAAGCAGTAACCGGGTCAGAGCTTCAGATGAAACCCAGTGAGGCTCCTTCAGCTCAGTCTGTTCCTCAGACGTCCAGGTTCAGTTTGGGTTTTCTCAGTTTGCCCAGTAATTCCAGTCCGGTCCGAGCAGCCAGCAGAGACGCCATGTTGTTACAGCCGGAGCTCACCGCCACGTCATACGCTGTCTGACCGGCGGCATTCCTCCGCTTCACACTGGCCCTGCAGCTGAAGGGAGAGAGAGAGAGACACACACACACACACACACACACACACACACACACACACACACTTCTTCAGACTCTGAAGTTTAAAGTTTTTTTCTCAACTAAAGGTTTAACACAGGTGAGTCGTACCTAAGCAGAACCTCTGCACACTGCAGACCTTCAGAGCCCAGAGCTGCAGCTTCATGCAGAGCTGTGTTCTTCATCCTGAGGAAGAGGAGGAGATTCATCATGTTACATCATCAGCACAGACATGACATCACATGACATCACATGACATCACGACAGGTTGTCCGTCTCATTCTCATGGACGTGACATCTCAGTAACACCTTGATGGAACTTCTTCACATCTGGCACAAACATTCACCTGGACTCAAGGAATAACTGACCGGTGGGTCAAAGGTCACTATGACCTCACAAAACAGGTTTTGGCTATGACTCAAGAATTAATTCATTAATTATGAGACAGTTTAACTCAAACATCAGGATAAAATGAAGTGATGACATTTTATATCAAAAGGTCAAAGGGCAACTTCACTGTGACATCATAATGGAGAGACTGTGACCGTGTTTCCTGTGTGGAGGAAACAACTGCGAGGTGGGAAATCTAACTGACAGTCGCATGGTTTAGTAATGAGACAGAGAATCCTGGTCCTGGACCAGGTCTCAGTGCTGGTCCTGGACCTGATGGATGATGGTCGTCTTACTGTCCGGACTGCTGCTCCACGTCAGCTCCTCTCTGCACCAGAACAGGAAGTACATCACAGTGCCCGTTCACTACGGCAACAGCCAAGGCGTGTCGTCCATTGCTGCCGCAGCAGGAGGGATCCGCCCCCTGGTGGTCGACAAACAAACAATGGTCAGAGTAAACTACGTCAGGTGATCCAGAGGAAGCTGTTGATTGGCTGCAGAGACTCTTACCTGATCCAGGAGCTGCTGGATGACGCTGATCTGACCTCGACCTGGACCCAGCTCCTTCAGCAGCTGACTGTCCTTCACCTGCAACCAGGACATCCAATCAGAGAGGAGCTATACTGAACAGGAAGTGAGATAGCAGCAGAGGCGTGGCCTCCTTCAGGTGAGTTTAGATCCAGATCCAGATCTAAATGACTCCCCAGCAGCTGGTGCAGGTTCTTACCGGAGGTTTGGGCGTCAGGTTTGGTCTGGGGGGTTTCATCACACTTGTGGACGCATCACTTCCTGTTAATAAAACCACAGAGGAACAACAACTGACCCCAGACTACAGACACGTTTCTAATGAACTGATGAGCTGAGAACAAAGTGACTGGAGGAGTGAACAGGACAGGAAACTAGCGTTAGCATGTTAGCTTTAATCTGGACTCAGACTGATTCCTGTTCAGCAAATTTCAAAACTTAAAAGATGGCCGCCATTTCTGGCACAGTAAACATGTTTTACGACAGAATTTTACCCATGGGACAGATCTCTATGATTATATAATGTAATCCCGTGTTTTAGACGATGAGGACGTGAATTCACAACTGTTAAATTTCAACTTCAACATGTCAGGAAAAATTTTGCCTAAAACACAACGTGTTTACAAACCATTTGTTATGAGTGATGAACCAAAAGTTCTGTTAAGAGTCAACCTGCAAGCTCGCTAGGCTAACTCGCTAGCGCTAGGCTAGTTAGCGAGCTTTTTTTTGTGAGGAACATTTTTGCTGAAATATACTTTCTTTGATTTTTTACAGTGTACTAAATTCTCCTTCTACATTGTTAAAATGATTTCACACCTGGATCATTCATATGAGAAAATAGTCAAGGAACTTATTACAAAAAATAACATTTCCTTGGAAGAAATGGCGGCCATCTTGAACTTGAAGTGGCTAACACATTTAGCATTTGTATTCACATTTGAAAGATTTCCCTCAAATATGCAGTTATCTGCTGCACTACACTGTCTCTACAGGTATGAAACAGTGTATTTACAGTATATTTACAGTGTATTTACAGTGTATTTACAGTATATCTACAGTGTATTTACAGTGTATCTACAGTGTATCTACAGTGTATTTACAGTATATTAACAGTATATTTACAGTATATTTACAGTATATTAACAGTGTATTTACAGTATATTTACAGTATATTTACAGTATATCTACGGTGTATCTACAGTATATTTACAGTGTATTTAGTGTATCTACAGTGTATTTACAGTATATTTACAGTGTATCTACAGTGTATTTACAGTATATTTACAGTATATTTACAGTGTATTTACAGTGTATCTACAGTGTATCTACAGTGTATTTACAGTATATTTACAGTATATTTACAGTGTATCTACAGTGTATTTACAGTATATTTACAGTGTATTTACAGTGTATCTACAGTATATTTACAGTGTATTTACAGTGTATCTACAGTGTATCTACAGTATATTTACAGTGTATCTACAGCGTCTGTACCAACCTTTCTTACTGCTGCTGTCGGAGAATCGTTCTGTGACGCTGCTCAGAGTCTCAGTCCGACCTGCAGGTGCTGATCTCGGACGGGTACCTGCTGGACCTGCACCGTCACCTTCAGGACCCACCTGAGACCAAACCTGCTGTCAGTCACCTGAACTTCACTGAAGAGATGTTTCAGTCAGACTCCAGGTGTTCAACTCACCTGCTTCTCTTCTCGTGCGGCCGACACAAAGCTGACGGTCAGACTGACTTCATAACCATCTTCTTGAACCACAGCAGAGACCATCTGAAGGTGGAGAAGACACAACACGTCAGCTGACACACAGGAGCACCTGCACCTGCTCAGGTGAGTCTGATGCCTAATCAACTTCTCACAGACGTCGTTATCAATCAATTTAATGGCAGTTCATTTATCCCACAGGTGAGGTGCAGGTGATGTACAGGTGATGTACAGGTGAGGTGTGGCGTACCCGGCCCAGACGAGGCTCTCCCAGCAGAGTCCTGAAGGGGGCATTGTTCTGAGCATAACTCCTCAGGTGAGCACAAACATGATCCACCTGCTTCCTCCAGTAACCTGAACACATCAATGACAAGTAGTATCAGTAGTAGTAGTAGTATTATTAGTGTTAGTATTAGTAGTAGTAGTAGTAGTAGTAGTACACTGTACCACTGCCCGGGCTGATGGCGGTCAGTAGCGGTTGACGGACTCTGGTCGCCTGCTGTCTGCTGAGCTGTAGCGCCCTCTGCTGGTCTTTCTTTTGGAGCTCAGTGGCTGATGGATAATAGAGTCCAACAGTCTGCGTGTACTGATCAGCAGTGGGCGGGGTTACCTTCACAGTGGGTGTGGGGTCAGATGAAGGCGTGGCCTGCCAGATGGCATCATGGGAGGTCGAGGCTGAAGCCTGATCACACACACAAACATGACAGCCTGTTATTGTGTGATAAACTAGATTATGACTTGTGTGAACGGCGTGATGTCAGTGGGGCATCATACCTGGCTGGGGGCGGTGCCCCTGACAGTCCGTGTGATGTCACTACAGGAAGTGGGTGATGGTGCTTCCAGGTAGACGCCACAGGCTGCGCAGTAGAAGGCATACGGGTGTCCACTCGCTCCACATCGCCCACACGTCACACAGCTCGCTGCATGACCAGGCTACAGACACGCATCACATCACTACAGAGCCACAGTGATTCACTGCTAACATTAGCTTAGCACAAAACCTGGAAGCATGAGGAAACAACCTCAACACAAAACTCAACTACAGAAGAACTGAAAATCTAAACTGTTCATTTTCAGTTCCAACAATCACAATAATCAGCCATTTCAAGCTAGTTAGTGCTAGGTGTGTTCACGTAAGTGTTCAGGTGAGAGTTCAGGTGTGAGTTCAGATGAGTGTTCAGGTGAGAGTTCAGGTGAGTGTTCAGATGAGTGTTCAGGTGAGAGTTCAGGTGAGAGTTCAGGTGTGTGTTCAGATGAGTGTTCAGGTGAGTGTTCAGGTGAGAGTTCAGATGAGTGTTCAGGTGAGTGTTCAGATGAGTGTTCAGGTGTGAGTGTTCAGGTGAGTGTTCAGGTGTGAGTTCAGGTGTGAGTTCAGATGAGTGTTCAGGTGAGAGTTCAGGTGTGAGTTCAGATGAGTGTTCAGGTGAGTGTTCAGGTGAGACTTCAGGTGTGTGTTCAGATGAGTGTTCAGGTGAGTGTTCAGGTGTGAGTGTTCAGGTGTGAGTTCAGATGAGTGTTCAGGTGAGTGTTCAGGTGAGAGTTCAGGTGTGTGTTCAGATGAGTGTTCAGGTGAGTGTTCAGGTGTGAGTGTTCAGGTGTGAGTTCAGATGAGTGTTCAGGTGTGTGTTCAGATGAGTGTTCAGGTGAGAGTTCAGGTGTGAGTTCAGATGAGTGTTCAGGTGAGTGTTCAGGTGTGAGTGTTCAGGTGAGTGTTCAGGTGAGTGTTCAGGTGAGAGTTCAGGTGTGTGTTCAGATGAGTGTTCAGGTTAGTGTTCAGATGAGTGTTCAGGTGAGAGTTCAGGTGAGAGTTCAGGTGTGAGTTCAGATGAGTGTTCAGGTGTGTGTTCAGATGAGAGTTCAGGTGTGAGTTCAAGTTTGTGTTCAGGTGTGAGTTCAGGTTTGTGTTCAGGTGTGTGTTCACGTAATTGTTCAGGTGTGTGTTCAGGTGTGTGTTTACCTTGGAGCCGCACCAGTCGCAGTATCTGGCATCCCTGTGGTTTATACGTTTACACCTGGAGCAGGACAACATCCTGCTGTCAGCTGATGGGACAGAGGGGGTGTCGTTACCCACACACACCTGCAGCAACACACGCACACAAACACGCACACAGGGAAATAAAAGGTTGAATATCTAAATATCTACAGATGAATCAGTGTGTGTGTGTGTGTGTGTGTGTGTGTGTGTGTGTGTGTGTATGTGTGTGTGTGTGTGTGTGTGTGTTACCGGCTGCAGGCGGCTCTCACAGGTCAGACAGTTGGTGATGTGAGCTGGATTCCCACTTCCACAGCAAACACACACCACATGATCCTACACACACACACACACACACACACACACACACACACACACACACACACACACACACACACGAAGAAAGTCAAAATATCACAAAAGAATTTGAAAATTTTTGTTTTTAAATTTATGGTTGTAACATAAGAATAAGATTTTATTTCATATGTGTATGTGTGTGTGTGTGTGTATGTGTGTGTGTGTGTGTGTGTGTACCTGCAGTGTGAGTCTGGCCTGTGGTTGTAGTTGTTGTTGGACGGAGGCTTCACAGATCAAACAGGTGTGAGTGTTGACGGGAACCACAGTGTTACAGAACGCACAGAGAACCTTCTGAGAACAGAGCACACACACGAGACCAGTGATGACCCAGGACATTCTCATCTGTGTGCAGGTGTGTGTACAAGTGTGTGTAGTACCTGTCCTCCCTCAGCAGGGGGCAGTCTCTGTTCAGGTAACGGAGGAACGACAGCGCCACACTGAGCACAGAACCGAGCAAACGGGTCTGTAGGACGGAAACTCAGACACTGAGCGCACCTGCAAACAGTTAGACAGACAGACAGGTATAGAGACAGACAGGTACAGAGACAGACAGACAGGTACAGAGACAGACACAGACAGACAGAGAGACAGGTACAGAGAAAAAGCTCAGGTGAAGCTACAGGTGCATCAGTGCAGGTTCATCCTCTGATGCTGAAGACTATGAGGCCAAAGTATGTGGACAACTCTGTCCACATACTTGTGTGTGTTTGGTCCTAAGATATTGAGACTAACAGACGTCAGTGTCAGGTACCTCAGGAAGTCGGTGTCCCGTTGGATTCTGGACGTGTGTGTGCTGCTCAGCTGCTTCAGCACACCTGAACTCTGATAGACAGGAAACACATCAAAATAAAAGTCCTCAGACGTGTGTCACGGCAGAGTGGTGTTAGCTTGACTGAGGCGATGAAGGTTGGTTTGTTTACCACTGCCTGGGAACGTTGGGAGGAACCGGACTGGGCTGTGGTGGTCGGAGAACCCAGTCGACTGTTCAGGAAACGAGGACCTGATAGAGGAGAACCGTTTCCCATCATCCTCGGCTCTGAATACAGATGAGAGGACAGTGTGAAGTGAGAACACACACCTGGTCTGAGAGGTTTTTACTACTGCTACTGCTACTGCTACTACTACTACTACTGCTGCTACTACTACTACTGCTGCTGCTACTACTGCTGCTGCTGCTGCTGCTACTACTACTGCTACTACTGCTACTACTACTACTGCTGCTACTGCTACTACTACTACTGCTACTGCTACTGCTACTACTACTACTGCTGCTACTGCTACTACTACTACTGCTGCTACTACTACTACTACTGCTACTGCTACTACTGCTGCTGCTGCTACTGCTACTACTACTACTACTGCTACTGCTACTACTACTACTGCTGCTACTGCTGCTACTGCTACTACTACTACTGCTACTGCTACTGCTGCTGCTGCTGCTGCTACTACTACTACTGCTACTACTACTGCTACTACTACTGCTGCTACTACTACTACTGCTGCTACTACTACTACTGCTGCTACTACTATTGCTGCTACTACTACTACTGCTGCTGCTACTACTGCTGCTGCTGCTGCT